GGCACTTCTCTACTAACACCAGATGGAAAGCCAAAGGGAAGCGAGAGTGTCTGGTCAGTGCACTGCTGCTACTGTTTTGTTCACAGCGCAAGCTAAGCCTGCAATGCCAGCATCCCTGGTTCATTTCCCAAATGGCTGCAACAGCCAGGGCTAATCAGGTTGAAGCCACGAAGAAGGAACGTCCTCCTGCTCTCCCCCATGGGCGGCACTAGTCCAAGTACTTGAGCCACATTTCACTGCTTTCCCAATCATGTTAACCAGGAAGCTGGATTGGAAGCAGAGCAGGCAGGACTAGAACAAGTGCTTCAAAATAGGATGCCAATATTCCAGACAGTGATTAACCAATTGAGGCACAACACTAGCTTCAAGGGAGCTTAAAAAAAAAAAAAAGCTGTTTAAAAAAATCCTTGGGATGTGTCCTGTACGGTGGCCTGGTGGCTGGAGTCCTCGCCTTGGGCAAGCAGGATCCCATATGGGCACTGGTTCTAATCCCAGCGGCCCTGCTTCCCATCCAGCTCCCTGCTTGTGGCCTGGGAAAGTGGTTGAGGACAGTCTAGGGTCTTGGGACTCTGCACCCACATGGGAGACCCGAACTGGCTCCTGGCTTCAGATTGGCTCGGCTCCAGCCATTGCGGTCACTTGGGGCATGAATCATTGGATGGAAGATTTTCCTCTCTGTCTCTCCTCCTCTCTGTGTATCTGACTTTGCAATGAAAATAAATAAATCTACAAAAAAAAAAAAAATCCTTGGGGGACTGTTGCTATGGTGTGGTAGATAAAGCTACTACTTGCAGGGCCAGCAACCCATACAGGAACAGGTTTGAATCCTGGCTTCTCCGCTTCCAATCTGGCTCTCCATTGATGTACCTGAGAAGACAATGAAACTTGGCTCAAGTGCTTGGGCCCTGCACTCCAATGAGAGACCCGGTTGTTGCAGCCATTTGCTGTGCCATGATATTAGCCTAATAATCTCCTTTTTCTTAAATAAAATTTTCTTCCTATGACGATAAACAACTTGTAGAACTCCAAGCCTGTCTTTATTAAGCATTTACCCTAGTATCTGCCTTCACTAATCCAAGACATTTTTTAAATTTAAATTTTAAGTTTATTTAAAATCAGACTTATTGTCTACTATCCAAGAACAGTGACTGCCAGGTGCCAACAAATTCATTAGTTGGCTTTTTGTTACCGCAATGAAATATCTCAGATAATCTGCTTAGGAAGAAAGAAGATTTAATTTAGCTCACAGTGGTGGGAGGCTTACAATACAAGTGGATTGGTACCGTTGCTTTGATCATTGGTGAGGGCAGAACATGGGAACATGGAAACGTGCATGGAAGAAAAACCACATGGAAAGGCAGAAAGCAGCCAGATGGCATCCAGACCCAACTCGGGCTTCTAGAACCGGACTTCTCCGAAGGGCTACATTCCGGGCGTGTCCCCAGTGACCTACGGAGCTTCTCCTTGGCCCATCTGCTACACATCACCACTGGATTAAGTTTGTAATCTCTTAGTGCTATTAACAGCAGATTTTCAGATTCTAAACTTCAAACATCAGTAGGAGTGTGGGAGCTATATTCCATTCGGGCTGTAACAAACATGCTTTTGTTAAATGCATTTTTAATGAACCTCACAGTTCATATTTTAACATTTGCTGGTGATACGGTATGGTCAAAGTTAAGGTTGCAGCCTCTGCAGCCAAATCAACATAGTCAAATTTGGGCCCTTCTACTTCGTGACTTCTCAGGGACACATTATTTTGTCCATGAATAGTGTCTACTCTACAATAGCAGTTACGGAAGGAAGCGAGGCGGCACGCACTTAGACGCATCGTGTAGGGTGGGCAAACGTGCTTTACAACTGTAGCTGTGATGAGCATTTCCAAAGACTAACAATTTGCCCATCAGAATCTGAGTTCTGCAAAGGCTCAGATTTCTCTCCAAAGTCCCAGTGAATGAATATACCTTCCAATCTACTTTGTTTCGTTTTGCCCCAGCATAGATCCGGTACTGGCGATCAGCACGCACTACGTATGTGCTGAATTAGGAATATGTGTATTTATATATATATTTATGTATTTATGCTCTGCATTCAAAATAGCCCAGTAATTGTATGGCTGAACCCAAGGCCCCCAAACAATCATGGATTGTACATACATCAGTTTTGTGTACATTGTGGATACTACCAAATAAAAGAAGTGGAAAAATGTTGCTCCATGGCTACTGATCAGTTTAAACTAGTTAGTAAATACAGTGAGGCAAGCATGGGAGTAGATTATATTGTATTTTACTTCCACTTGTGGAGAAGCAATTATTTTTTCTTTTAAAGATTTATTTGTTATTTTTATTGGAAAGGCAGACCAGATTTACAGAGAGAAGGAGAGTCAGAGAGAGCAAGAGCCTCTTCCATCTGTTGGTTCACTCCTCAAATGGCTGCAATGGCAGGAACTGAACCGTTCTAAAGCCAGGATCCAGGAGCTTATTCTGAGTCTCTGAGACAGGTGCAGGGTCCCAAGGCTTTGGTCTACCTCTACTGCCTTCTCAGGTTACAAATAGGGAGTTAGTTGGAAGGGAAGTAGAGCAGCTGGGATACAAACTGGTTCCCATATGGGATCACAGTGCTCGCAAGGCAAGAATTTAGCCACTGGGCCTGAGAGGCAATTCTGTAAATATTTTATTCAAATTAGTTTGAGATGCCACATCTACATTCAAAGCAGTTTCTTTCTTTCACATATATATGAACATATATATTTTTTAAAATTACGAATTTTTGAAGTATGTGGTACAATTTCGTATAGGGCTGGGATTCCACAAACTCCCACCCCTGATCTTTCTTTTTTGTTTCTTAAAGACATCTATTTTTATTTGAAAGGCAAATTCACGTTGCTTCACTCCCCAAATGACCACAATAGCTAGAGCTGAACTGACTCAAAACCAAGAGCCCAGAGCTTCTCCTTGGTCCTCTACGTGAGCCATCATCTGCTGCTATCCCAAGCCATCAATAAGGAGCTGGATTGGAAATGAAGCAGCAGGGACACAAATCTGCATCCATATGGTTTGCCGCTGCCAGAGGTGGAGATCAGCTTGATAAGCCACCACGCCGGCTCCATTCGATTTGTAAGTGCACTTTGCTTTTTATTACTCTATGGTGAGAAGTCTGCAGACTTTGACCTACAAGCCAAACCCTGCTGGCACCGTTTTTGGTACATCTGTGAGATTACAAAGGCTTTTATACTGAAAAAGTATTTATTTCTTCTCATGTAATTGAAAAGTAGAATGACACACGCAGAGATGGGGGAGAGAGAGAGAGAATGCTTCTATCCCCTAGTTGACTCACCAAACATCTCCAGTAGTCAGAGCGACCAGGCAAAGCCGGGAGTGTGGCAATTCATCCAGACCTGCCATCTCCCTTGCGTGTGGCAGGTGCCCAGGCCTTTGAGCACGCATCTGCTGCTCCCAGTGTACAACAGCCGGAAGCTGGATGGAGAGTGAAGGTGCAAGGCGCCTTTTCTCTCTGTAACTCCATCTTCCAGCCTTTCAAATACAAACACAAGAACATTATAAAAAAAAAAAAAAGAAGAAGAAAGTGAAGATACCTGGTCCCTAAGTGTCACTGCTCCAAAATGGGACACTGGAGCCAACATCCGAAGACGTGGCTTAAGTGGCTGTTCCACAGCGACCACCAAGCTTTTATACTTTTAAATGACTGAACAAAAAAATTAACAGAATGGTATTTCATGATATGTGAAAATCATATAAAGTTGGAAATTTCATGCAATATGCAAGGAAGTGTGACTGGAGTGCAGCCACGCTTATTATCCGTGGCCAGTTGCATGCCGTAACACCGCACCGCATTGAGTAGTTGTCTTAGAAATCTCAAGGCCCACAAAACCAAAATTATTTACTCTCTGACTTATTACAGCAAAAAAGTTTGCCTACACCTGTTCTATGGATACGTGCTCCTTTTAGCTTATCCGGTCTCTTTGAGGGGTGCGCTCATCAGATATTTTTCAAAATATTCTTCTTTCAAAGCATAACGTCATCAACTTGAGCTTCCTAAGTGGCACAATTCTGTTTATAACAGTCATTATTGGGGTCCCAGCACTGGCGTCTTTCAGGGGCTCAGAATTTCCTACTCCACAAACATGCCATCACCAAAGCTAAACCAGAGGCTTCCAAAGTCCCCCAGAAATTTCTCACCTAGTACAAACCAAGTTGCTTTTTCGGTAATTGTGATATTTCTTTAAAACTGTTTTTAAAAACATTTTATGTTCATTAACATTCGCCCCACTCTAGCGATTGAATTTTAGTTAGGCAACGAAAAGGCAGCTTTTAAAATCGGAACCATTTTTTTTTTTTCCCAAACAGAGCATTTATTGATAATATGAGTCGAATTGAAATGGCCTCAGCCTTTTTACATCTGTGCGCCACGTTTTAAAAACGACGAAGTGTTGGGTTGCAAGGCACGGTTGTCGGAAACCCCTCTGCGTGACAGCGGCGAGCGTGATCGCCGTTCAAAATGAGCACGTCAGGAAAAAGTCAGGTTTTGCATTCCGTGCAATGCGTTGAACGTGGACATATTGCACGTTGTATTGCAGATTTACTACAGCTGAGTCATTTCGGGACACGAGCAAGTGTTTCCAGGAAAAACGAGAGGAAGGAACCAGGCTTAGGGGCTCTCCGGGTTCCCCCAGGCACTTGCAGCAGCAGCAGACACCGGTATTCCGCGGCGGGCGGCGGCGTGGTCCAAAAAGGTGCCGCGGCCCCTTTAAGAGGCGAAGCACCTTCTCCAAGATACCATCTTGCACCAGGAGTTCACTTCAGCTCTCCACCTACCTTGCTAGATCCCTCCTACCTAACTGGGTACGACCGGCCGGCGGGGCGAGCGAGCCTTTTCATTGGCCGTGCGCGCAGGGCCCGCTCGCTACGATTGGCTGTTGTGCCCGCCACTCGCCGTCGTCTCCCGCCTACCTCAGCTTCGGGTTAGGTTGAGGGAGGGCTCTGGGGTTAGTTCCTGTTAGGCCCCGGCCGGGGGAGTAGGTTCAAGTCTCCTGAGATGCCCGGTGGGCAGGGGCACCGGGAGCCGTGAGGGGAACGTGCGGACGCGGCGAGCCGAGCCCCACGGCAGGCCTCAGGAACCGGAGCGGCGGCCGAGCCCGCCTTCGCTGCACCATGCTCATAGAGGATGTGGATGCCCTCAAGTCCTGGCTGGCCAAGTTGCTGGAGCCGATGTGAGCGAGCTGGGCCGGGCCGGGGCCGGCGTGGGGCGCCGGGCGGGAGGTGCGGGCGGCGGCTTCCCTGGAGCGCTGTGCCCGGGGCTGGCCGGGGGGAGAGGGCAGCCGCGGCTTTTTACACACGCCCAGCTCCGGGTGCTGGGACGGGCGGCAGGAGGAGTGAGGGAACTGGAGCAGGACCGCGGGGCTGTTGAGGGATTTTCAGAATGGGAATTGGGGGGTGTGTGTGTATCCTGAGGTGGGCGGGCGAGGGGCTCGTTCACACACGGTGTTAATCCGGGGCCACCAGGAAGCCAAGGCCTTTTCAGAATATTCTGGCAGGAAAAGGGATGATGGCAAAGAGGGATTTGAAGAATGATGTGGGCATCGAAGGGTTTTAGGAATTTGGAGGGAGCACACCGTGAAGGCAGGAGCATAAGAGATTCGTAAAAAAAAAAGTATCTTGGAGTTGATAATGCTAGCACTGACGCTGCTTAGGTACCACTGGAGATTGGGAAATTCTGAGGGTAACTTTGAGAGGGTTCACGCTGATGGATGGAGGTGTTGAAGGGGGCACAGACGCACAGCATCTGGGGGCTTCGCGGGAATAACAAGAGTGGGGGAAAGAAAGGTTTTGTCCCCAGTGTTGAAGGGTGAAGAGGGTGACTGAAGGAAATTGGTGTAGCTTTCTTGTTGATCTGAAAAGACAGCTGTTCTTGCACAGTGTTTTGGGTTGTATTAGATGTAGAAATATTATTGGGGGACTTGCTAAGGGATAGTAGAGGAGATACTAAGTTTTTTGTGTTTTATAATCATTGTTATTTTTTTTTTAATTTGAAAGAAAGAGGCCGGCCTCCCATCTGCTGGTTCACTTCTGCAGCAGCCAGGACCCGGGACTGGTTATTGGGGTTCCACACGTGTGCAGGGCCCCAGTTATTCAGAACATCACCTGCTGCTTTTTCCAGGGTGCACATGTGGCAAGGAGGTCTCCTGAGCAGAGCTGGGGCTCCAGTCCTGGCACACCTTTGGGCTGCAGGCGTGTGGAGTGCGTGGATCCTAAGAAACAACCGGATAGGCTGGCTGCACCAAGTGCCTGTCTAATCATTTTGAGGAGCAGGGTTGCAGAGCATTTGTGTGGTGAGCTAGGGTCTAACTAGTCCCTGTAACGGCTCCTAGGGGGAGGAGAGGAGACCGCGGGGGTTAGGGAAGGAGGTCCTGAACCAACTCTTGGCGAAGGAGTGGCCCCCTCATCGCTTCGACTTTTTGCTCACTCTTGTTTTGGAGGTTAGAGCTGTGTGCCTGAAAGAGAGAGGTGAGAGAGAAGAGATGGGAAAGCTTGCATTCATACATCAGATTGCTTTAGGGATGAAAGTGTGTTTGGGGGATGCGGAAGCATGCTGAGGTCGGAGCTGTTGAGTGTCAAGCCACTTGCCAGTTGTTGATCCGTTTCCTAATCTTCCTGAAAAAAGCTTGTAAGCTAACGTTTGTGCTACTTTGGTTTCTTGAGATCTAGGAGGAGAGATGTGCAGTGCCTTCTGTCAGCCTTGGAAAGACAGGATGGGAAAGAGGCAGCACAGGGGATCCTGATGGTTGAAATGGAGGTTGCGTTTGGAGAAGGGAGGCGTGAGTAGAGCACAGGTGTTTGCACTGAGGGTCTCCGGGTGAGCTGAGGTCTTCTGTTTTCTGAGTGGTAGTAACAGTTGGAATGAAAATGACTCTGGATGCACTTGAAAATAGTGTACAAGAATATGGGCCTCTTAAATGTGTATCTTAGCTTTTAATTTTACAAACTTTTGGGGCAGCAGGGTGGAAATTCCTTGTGTTGAGTGTGGGAAACAAGAGTGCAATAGACCATATATACAAATGGTTAAAACAGAAGTCTGTAAATTAAAAAAATTCTTTATGTTGGGCCTGGCATGATAGCCTAGCAGCTAAAGTCCTTGCCTTGCATGTGTTGGGATCCCATATGGGCATTGGTTGGTGTCCCAGCTACTCCACTTCTCTTCCAGCTCTGTGCTTGTGTACTGGGAAAGCAATCAAGGATGGCCCAAAGCCTTGGGACTCTGCACCCGCATGGGAGACCCAGAAGAGGATCCTGGCTCCTGGCTTTGGATAGGCTCAGCTCTGGCTGTTGTGGCCACTTGGGGAGTGACCCAGCAAATGGAAGATCTTCCTCTCTGTCTCTTCTTCACTCTCTGACTGCATTTCCAATAAAAATAAATATATATAAAAAAGAGAAACATTCTTTAAGGTAAAACAAATGACAGTACTTTTATCCTAAACTTTTATCACCTGTTACTCCTGCTGCTTTTTTTTTTTTTAAGATTTATTTATGTACTTTGAATGAGTTAGAGACATCTCCCATCTGCTGGTTCCCTCACTGGACGGCTGCACCAGCCAGGACCGGGAGCTTCATCCGAGTCTCCCGTGTGGATAGCCGGCCCTGAACACGTGGGCCGTCTGCTGCTGCTTTTCTAGTTCATTAGCAGGGAACTGGATTGGAAGTGGTGCGGTCGGTCGGTATGTGAATCACTGCCCACATGGGGGGTTGGCTGTTGCAGGGGGCGGCGGCTTTACTTAGCCTTTCCTTGAGTTTCACAAAACAAAGGATGAATGTCCATACAATTTTTGTTGTTGTTGGTAGAGTTATGTTTTGAAAAGTTGAGTAGAAGGTAGTGACTTTTAACTTTAGAATTACTTGCTTTTGCTTTCTATTTGGCTTCTTTGTTAAAAGAGTTATTTATTTATTTAAAAGGTAGAGACAGAGAGAGCTGTGATCCACTGGTTGCCTCTCAGTTGACTGCTACAGTCAGGCCTGGGCCAGCCTGAAACCTGGAGCCAGGAATTGTATCCTGGTCTCCCACGTCCATGACAGGGGCTCAAGCACTTGGACCGGCTTATGCTGTTTTCCCTGGTACATTAGCAAGAAGTTCTGGACAAGCCAAAACTCAGCTCATTTTGCTGTGACACAGTACTTGTCCTTTTATTTATTATTTTCAAGCTCTCCAAGATGTTTTACCCTGTGTAGTGCTTGTTTTTGTTTTTGGATGGGTTCTCATTGGAGGCAGAATTACAGAAAGATGGAGTCCGAGACAGACAGGGATGAAGATTAACCTTCCGTGTGTGGTTTCCTGCCCCCTGGCTGCAGTGGCTGATGCTGGTCCAGGCTGCAGGCAGGAGCATGGCACTCAGTGGCTCTCCCGCCACGTGCATGGCAGGGGCCAGAGCACGCAGGCCATCTGTGCTGCTTTCCTTTGAATGTTAGCAGGAAGCTGGATCCGAGTGGGGCTGCTGGGACTCAAACTGCACTCCTATGGGATGCCTGTGGTGCCACTGATGGCTTAATGTACTGTGCTGCCACACCGGCCTGGCCTATTGATTTTTAGTAAAAATTTGGTTTGGTGCTCTTTCTTTCTTTTTTTTTTTTTATTATTTATTTGAAAAGCAAAGTGAAAAAAAGCAGAGGAAGGGAAAGAGGTCTTGTGTTCACTAGTTTACGTTCTAAGGAGTAAATTTTACAGAGAGAATGAGAGACAGAAAGATCCTCTGGCTACTGGTTCACTCCCCAAGTGGCTGCAATTGTTGAAGCTGAGCCGATCCAAAACCAGGAGTCGGGAGCCTCTTCTGGGTCTCCCATGAGGATGCAGGGTCCCAAGGCTTTGGGCCGTCCTCGAGTGCTTTCCCAGGCCACAAGCAGGGAGCTGGATAGGAAGTGGAGTGGCTAGGACATGAATTGATGCCCATATGAGATCCTGGTGGATGCAAGGAAAGGATATTAGTCATTAGGCTACTGTGCCAGGCCCATGTTTATTAATTTTTTAGATGAGTGGCTGAAGGAGGGATCTCAGAAGAAATGACATCCAGCTGGGTGGGGACAAAAAATAAAACATTAGCACCATTTTGTTAGTAACACAGTAAATGGAAGGGAAACCAGGCCTTAAGGAGTTTACATCTGTTTCCACGGTGCCACACTCTGAGTCAAGGCTCAGAGAGCCTTTTTGGAGTCCTTATATTCACTTGCTTGTTTTGCAAGGGCAGGATTAGCCATTTGAGCCATTGTGCTGGGCCTCCATGTGGGATTCTGCAACTGCAGACATTGGCTTTACCCATTAGGCCACAGTGCTGGCCCCGCAAGCATTTTTCAACAGCTTGAATTTCTTTTTTTTTTTTAAGATACATATTTCTTTAGAAGTAAGCATCTTTTTTTTTTTTTAAAGATTTATTTTTATTATTTTTTTTTATTGGAAAGGCGGATATACAGAGAGGAGAGACAGAGAGGAAGATCTTCCGTCCGATGATTCACTCCCCAAGTGAGCGCAACGGCCGATACTATGCCTATCCGAAGCCAGGAGCCTCTTCCGGGTCTCCCATGTGGGTGCAGGGTCCCAAAGCTTTGGGCCGTCCTCGACTGCTTTCCCAGGCCTGATGCATGCAAGAGCTCTGATGATTTTTTAAATTGAGCTTAGTGGCTTCCAGAATTAGTGTGTTAAATACTGTGGGACTTGTTGAAGGAGATTATTTCACAGGAGAGAACTTTGGCCAGAAGACTTCTTTGCAAGTTTTAGTCTATTTAGAACCTGTTTGTCTTATGTCCTTGTTCTGGCTCCTTAATGTGAGTTCGTTTTTTCTGGCCTAACAGCTGTAGGCTAGAAGGCAAATGTTTTCATAGCCGTGTGTTTCTTACTACTGCCTTCTTCTGTCCTGTCATGGTGTTTTCATTTTTAATCTCATTCTTTTTGAACAGACTTATTTATTTTTATTTGAAAGGCAGATTTTACAAAGAGGAGAGACTCAGGGAGAGGTTAAATCTGCTGATTTACTCCCTAGATGACTGAGACAATCCCAAACTGGAAGCCAGGAGCTTCGAAGTCTCCCACATGGTACAGGAGCCCACAGCCTTGGGCTGTCCTCCACATGGTACAGGAGCCCACAGCCTTGGGCCGTTCTGCACTGCTTTCCCAGGCCACACAGAAGGAACTGCATGGGAAGTAGAGCAGCCGGGACACAACCAATGCCTATATGGGGTGTTGGTGCTATAGGTGGAGGATTAGCCTGTTATGTCACTGTGTCAACCCCTATTAATCTCTCTCTGTGCTATATTAAACTGCGACTACTGTTACAAACAGTAGTCAAAATATTAAAATAGTCTTTATAACTGATACATATGTATTTAAAGAGAAAAACCCCACAAATTTGGGGTTTTTACAGGTAAGAATTTTATGGCATTAATTTTGTTAGTTTTTCTTGGTTAAAAGTTCTAGTTGATTTTTTTTTTTAGATTTATTTTTATTTTTATTACAAAGTTGGTTATATATAGAGGAGGAGAGACAGAGAGGAAGATCTTCATCCGATAATTCACGCCCCAAGTGACCACAATGGCCAGTGCTGCGCCGACCTGAAGCCAGGATCCAGGAACTTCTTCCGGGTCTCCCACATGGGTGCAGAGTCCCAAAGCTTTGGGCCGTCCTCGACTGCTTTCCCAGGCCACAAGCAGGGAGCTGGATGGGAAGTGGAGCTGCTGGGATTAGAACCGGCGCCCATATGGGATCCGGGCGTGTTCAAGGCGAGGACTTAAGCCGTTAGGCCGTGCTGCTGGGCCCTGTGGCTAGAATTTGAGTCCAGCGATCTAATTTGGGAGGTCCCTAAATAACTCAGCTAGGGTAACCTCAGACTTGTCTTTGGTGTCCACCAGCCAGTGCAGGACCAGCTTCAGGCTGTAACCTGTACCAGGCAGTGCGTATACCAGTGGGTACAGCTGCCTGGTCAGTTCTAACTCCAGGCCTATCTCATGTGAACTGACCAGTGCTATGGTCTAGTCCAGCCCATCCTGCCACAGGCTAGATCATCACACATACCAGTAAGTGCCATGGTGTAGATGGGGATATCACTGATAACTCCCACCAGGCCCTCTGTTATGCCTGGTTTTTGTGTGTACCTACATATGCTGTGACCTAGCCTGGTCCGTCTGGCTCTTTTGTTCTTGTGCACACCCAAGGATGCTGTGGCTTAGCTTAGCCTTACCTTCCCTGAGACCTACAAATAAGCCAGTGTGTGATGCTGCCTTTCCCAGCCTTGCCAGCCCCCAGCCCTGGCTCTCATGATCACCAGCAGGAGCTGCATCCTGGCAGGGGAGTGCCCATAGTTTCCCTCTGACACCCGCTCCCAGCCCTGAATCTTGCATCTGCCAGAGGATACTGTGGTTCAGCCTAACATTATGTCACCAAGTCCCAGCACTTGCCAACAGATGCTGCAGCCTAGCCTGGCTGGCCTGCACCCATTCTGGCCAGTGTGTGCTGAGCCCTGCCCAGACTGGTCCACTGCAGTCCCTAGCTCTCATGCTCACCTGTGGAAGCAGTGACTAATAGGGGAAACCCTGAGCTTCCCTTCCCAGGTCTGCTGCCAGTTCTGGGTCTTGGGTGTGCCAGCACAAGCGTGCTGTGACTTAGTCTGGCATGGCCCACCTGAAGTCTCAGTATTTGCCAGTAGGTGCAACAACCTAACCCAACCTGGCCCACCTAGACCCTTATGTGAACTGGTAGGTGCTGTGGTCCAACCGGGCCTGACCTTGCAACCTGTCCTGGTTCTCACTTGGGCCAGTGCGTCCTGTGAACAGGCTCTACCTTGCCCACCCCCAGACCTGGTCCACTTGTATGCTAACAGATAGGTGCTACAGCCAGGCAGGCCTGCTGGTCCTGTTTTCAATTTGAGATTTCTACTAATGCCCATCCTGGACAAAGCAGATGGTGGTTTAAGTTTTCACATAGGAGACCTGGATTGAAATGCGGCTTCTGGCTTTGGCATGGCCCAGCCCTTGCTGAAATAGGCATTTGGGAAACGAACCAGTAGGTGGAATATCTCTGTCTTGTTTGTTTCTCAATTTTCAAATAAATTAATAGCAGCAACAAAAAACTTGAATTTCAAAATTGTTTTGCACTAAAATCATACTCAATTGTAGTAATATGTCTGATCAGTATCTAGTTTGAGGGACTAATAATGACAATTTGAAAAGAACATATATCAGAGCATCATGAATTCTTGTAAAACTGAAGCAAGAACAAACTACCCAGTGTACAGTGTCACTTAAGTAGAAGAATGATGAAATCTTTGATGTGTTGATTTTTTAATAAGATTTATCTTTATTTGAAAGTCAGGCTTACAGTGAGAAGGAGGGACAGAGAGAGAAAAAGATTTTCCGTCTGCCAGCTCATTCTCTAAATGGCTACAAACATAGGAGCTGAGCTGATCCAAAGCCAGGAACTTCTTCCAGGTCTCCCCAAGGGATTCAGGGCCAAGGACTTGGGTTATCCTTTTCCGCTTTCCTAGGCTGTGAATAGGGAACTGGATGGGAGCAGCCGGGGCTTGAACTGGTGGTACCCTATGGAATGTTGGTGCCATAGGCAGATGCTCAGTTGACTATGCGTTGATGCTGGCCCTTAGGGAAAAATGCATGGGGACAATGCCCCAAAGAAATTAGCAGTTTACAAATGTATAACTCAATTCAAGAAGTGACAAGATGATGTCAGAAGTGAAGCCGCAGCAGCAGACCAGCCACTAAAGGAATAAATTTGATTTTGTTCATGTGCTATGTTGAGAGTTGTTGATTAATAGCCATTCCCAAGGTATCTCAGTTGATTTAGTTTATGCATTATAGTTTTGTCTTGTTTGCTAGTTTTTTATTAGTTTTTTTGGAAAGGCAGATTTACAGAGAGAAGGAGATACAGAGAGATACATCTTCGCCTGCTTGGTCACTCCCCAAGTGGATGCAATGGCTAGAGCTGAGCCGATCCAAAACTAGGAGCTGGGAGCTTCTTCCAGGTCTCCTGCATGAGTGCAGGCTCCCAAGGACCTGGGCGGTCCTCCACTGCTTTCCCAGGCCATATGTAAGGAGTTGGATGGGAAGTGGAGCATTTGGAACACGAATTTGTCCTCATATGGCATCCCAGTACACTTGAGGCAAAAATTTAGCTATGCTGGCCTCCATTGTTTGCTTATTTTCATTTTATTTGAAAGGCAGGAAGACATACAAATAGGCAGATTTTCCATCTACTGACCCAGGAGGCTGGAACTGGGACAGGTTGAAGCCAGAAATTTGGAATTCAGTCCATGTTTCTCCTGTTGGTAGCAGAGATCCAGCTCGTTTAGTGAGTGTGTCCTGGGTTCTGCATTAGTGGGAAGCTGGAATTGAGAGTGGAGTGGGACCTGAATCCAGGCATGCTGATACAGAATGCAGGCATCGCAAGTGACATTTTAACCTGTAGACCACATGCCAGCTTCCATATTTCTGACTGAAAAACTGAGTGGAACAATCTCTGCCTGATGGATGCCTAAACTCTTGTGCCCAGATGAGCTGCAGACAAGAACAGAGCTTTCAATGGAAATTTTCAGCAGTTGGAATCAAGATCTTGAAGCTTTTATTTGAAGGGACTTTTAGCAGGAGCTGAAGCAAGGCCTTACGAAGGTGATTCTGAAGACAGCACTCTTAAGGGAGTGACTTCTAGCAGATGGAAGTGGTCCAGTCAGAGCCAGAGTAGAGCAGAGTCAGTTCCACAGCAGCAGCAGCTTGAGATATTCAGGGCATTTTTCATGCTGCCTTTCTGGTGGACCAGATAATACCGGAAGCCAGATAACATGAGAATGGGATGGTCTTTGGGTTTTCTAAAAAAAAAAAATAAGGGTGACTTCAGTATTACATCACTGTTTGAAGACAACATGTTATTACATTTTTGTTTCTCTTTGTCTGACTAGATGTGATGCTGACCCATCAGCCTTGGCCAACTATGTTGTAGCACTGGTCAAGAAGGACAAACCTGAGAAAGAATTGAAAGCGTTTTGTGCTGATCAGCTTGATGTCTTTTTACAAAAAGGTAATTATTACAGGCTTCCAAACATGTATTTCAGTAAAGATTTTGGATGTTAAGACTTCATGCTTTAGTTTCCTGAAGATACAGGATTGGTTGGAAGGTATCTGTTCTTTGGTTTTTCGTTGTCTCTATCATTTTTTATTTGTTTTCAGAGTAAATGAGGGGAACAGAAAAAATAGCCAGTAATGTTAATCATTTTTCTTTTTTTATTTTTAAGATTTATTTATTTTTATTACAAAGTCAGATATATACAGAGAGGGGGAGAGACAGAGAGAAATATATTCTGTCTGATTATTCACTCTCATTTGACTGCAACGGCCGGTGCTGTGCTGATCCAAAGCTGGGTACCAGGAACTTTTTTCCAGGTCTCCGACGCGGGTGCAGGGTCCCAAGGCTTTGGGCCGTCCTCAACTGCTTTCCCAGGCCACAGGCAGGGAGCTGGATGGGAAATGGAGCTGTCAGGATTAGAACCGGCAGCAGTATGGGATCCTGGTGCATTCAAAGCGAGGACTTTAGCCAATAGGCCACAGCACTGGGCCCTAATCATTTTTCTGTAACAGTAAAAGAAATCAACAGTGTTCTTTTAATGCTTGATTGTACCTATTGCTGCCTAAGTATTCATGAAGTTTTGTGACAGGACTTTGAGTTTTGTTCTTTGGTTCTTTACTATCCTGCAGCAGCAAGTTCTGCTGTTGCTTAGGTGTTTAGGTCCTTGGAAGATTTTGGCAGTTTAGTTGATGGAGGAGGGGTAACAACAGTTTAAGAATAAGGAAACTACCTATTCTTGCTCATAGAAAATGAACCTGATTTTTTTTTAAAATTTTTTTAGGAGTTGGGCATGCATATTTTTCCTTTGTGCCTTTAGCTTCCCGGCACACCAGAATCCTTTCCGGGATCTTCACAGTTGATTTGGGTTTTCCCTGGCTGCTTTTTGGACCTCATTTCCTGAGGCTTTCTGCTGCTTCCCCTTGCTTTGTTCTCTAGCCACCTAATATTTTTTCTTTTTATTTTTTTTAAAGATTTATTTATTTTTATTGGAAAGGCATATCCACAGGGAGAAGGAGAGACAGAGAAAGATCTTCCATTCCATTCGCTTATTCTCTCCCCAAATGGTTGCAGTGGCCAGAACTGAGCCGATGTGAAGCCAGGAGGCAGGGGCTTCCTCCAGGTCTCCAATGCAGGTGCAGGGTCCCAAGGCTTTGGGCCATCTTCTACTGCTTTCTCAGGTCTCAAGCAGGGAGCTGCCAGGACAGGAGATGGCGCCCATATGGGGGTGAGGATTTAGCCATAGGTTGTCTCACGCTGTGCATGACCTAGTATTTTTGAATATAGCAGACTGCTTCCTACAGATGGTTTCTTCCTTCACTTCCTTATTTATTTTGAAATGTCATCTTAGAGCAATTTCACCTGAGCACCCCTGTGATATGGTACCAGTGTGGTACACTATTATTCTCTTTGCAACTGCACTTTTTTGTGATACTTGTCACACTCTGTCTTGTCTTCTGCATTTGTGTCTCTCCCCTGTTATTCTCTAGTCTCAAAAGCAAAGACAAACAGAATTGGAACCTAGAGTGCTTGACGTATAAAAAATAGCAGTGTACATTACATACACACACACACACACACACACACACGCACGCACACTTGCCAGTTGATCAAGCTGATATTGAGATAATATTTTTTAAGTGAAATGTCTGATGGGGCCAGTGCTGTGGCATAGCATGCTAAGCCTTCTGCAACACCAGTACCCCATATGGGTGCTGAAATAAGCCCTGACAGCTCCACACTTCCGATTCATTTCCCTGCTAATGGCCTGAGAAGGTGTCTGTGGAGGGCCACTGTACCCTTTCGGGGGACCCGGAAGAAGTTGCTGGCTTAAGATCTGCCCAGTCTAGCTGTTCCAAGTTGTTTGGGGAATGAACCAGTGGATAAAAGATTTCTCTTTGTTTCTTTTCTCTGTGTAGGCTCTCAAAAAGAAATCTTAAAGAAAATTAAGTGAAATGCCTGCACAGAAATAAAAGAAAATATAGCTTTACTTTTAAAGATTCATTTGTTTTTTTAAAGCTTTATATATTTTCATTGGAAAGAAGATTTAAAGAGAGGAGAGACAGAGAAAGCTCTTTCCTCATTCATGCACTCCCCAAATGGTTGCAATGGCTGGAGCTAGGCCAGTCCGAAGTCAGAAGTCTGGATTCTCTTCTGGGTGCCCCATGCTGGTGCAAGGACGCAAGGTTTTGGATCATGTTCCGCTGTTTTTCTGGGCCATAAGATTGTACGTGGAATAGCTGGGGCATGAACTGATGCCTATATAGGATGATGTTGCTTGCAGAAGGAGGATTAGCCAGTTAAGCCATTGCACTGGCTCCAAAGATGTTATTTCTTCGGAAGTCAGGGGTAACAGAAAAATCTGTTTTCTGTTGGTTCATTCTGCAAATGGCAGCAATGGCTAAAGCTGGGCTGGTCTGAAACTGGGAACCAAGAGCTTGCTCCTCTTGGCCAGTCACATGATTGAAAGGTCCCAAGGACTTGGACCATTTTCCTCTGGTTTTCTAGGTGCAAGTTGCTGCATCAGAAGTGGGGCAGCTGGGAATCAAATGAATGTCCATCTGGAATGCCCATGTTGTAGGCAGTGGCTTAACCCACTATATCATCGCACTGTCACCAAATATGACTTCTTAATCTAAAGCAAAGGATTACAGAGTTTCTTCATATATTTTGAAATGTTTTTCATTAAAAAACCCAAATAAGTGCTAATACAGAATTCCTCCCCTTTGCAATTGCATGTTTCCTTTTGTAAAGAATGCTATTTTACATTATTTAGTTTATATTAATGATGAATTGTGGGCCCAGTGCCATAGCTCAGTTGGCTAAACCCTCCCCTCGCAAGCACCAGGAATCCGTATGGGCACTGGTTCGTATCTCAGTTGTTCTACTTCCCATCCAGCTCCCTGCTTGTGGCCTGAGAAAATTGTGGAGGATGGTCTGCCTGGGAGACCCAGAAAAGCTCCTGGTTCCTAGCTTTAGGTCGATACAGCTTCGATTGCTGAGGAATTTTGGAAGTGAATCAGTGGATGAAAGATAATTTCTGTTTCTCCTTCTCTCTGTAAATCTTTCTTTCTAATCAAAACAAATCTTTAAAAAATTTTTCAATTAAGTAATATTTTCACACCTGTGCTTTTAGTAAATTTATCTGGTTCTCATGCTCTATTCATTTGAAAAAATTCCAAGTTACAGTAGTTTTTATTTAAAAAAAAAAGATTTATTTACTGGAATTTCTCATATATGAGAGGAGGAGAGACAGAGAGGAAGATCATCTGTCCACTGGTTCACTTCCCAAGCGGTCGCAACAGCCGGAGCTCAGCTGATCTGAAGCCAGGAGTCTGGAGTCTCTTCCAGGTCTTCCATGTGGGTGCAGGGTCCCAAGGCTTTGGGCTGTCCTCAGCTGCTTTCCCAGGCCACAAGCAGGGAGCTGAATGGGAAGTGGGGCTGACGGGGTTAGAACCGGCGCCAATATGTGGTCCTGGCGCATTCAAGGTGAGGACTTTAGCTACTATTGCGCTGGGCTCAGTGCCTTTAACTTTATTTAAAAATATTTCTGGTGAATTTTTTGTTTTTTTAGTAGGTAGGGCATTTATTCCAGCAAATGAGAATGTATCATAAAAAGCTTCTTTAGCAAATACAGGGCCCAGCACAGTCCATCGCCCCGATCAGCTGGTGGTTGCAATTGCTGGGTTGGTTCTGGTTTCACTCCCAACTTCCACTGGAACCAATGGGTGTTGCAGTCCAGCCTGGTTCTGCCCAGCACATATTCAGCCCTCGCATAAACCAGTGGGAGCTGCAGTCTAGTTGGAGCTGTACTTGCTAGCACATACAAGAATCTGGTTTGAGAACACCTCGACAAAGTTTCTTTGGAGATCTCCCCAATCAAAATGCTGGACTCAGAACCCTAACGAAGAAAAGAGAGAAGACAGAACAGGTCAACCAACCATCTCAGCTATATTTTGGCAGTGAAATACGGGGCAAACAGAGACTCTATGATGGACTATGTCAATCAGTAGATTCTTCAAGGACCTCATAGTGCTTGGAGTGGCAAGATGGGCAGCGATTCTTAACTGTTGAAATATCAAAACCATTTGAGCAAGAACCTCAGGGCATACCCTACATCCAGGACCTGGGGAGGGTGGGAAATTGGGTGGGCCTTCTCCCTTAATACCCCCCTTTAAACATGAAGGAAGCAATATGGAAAAAATAATAGTCTTACCCACTTTCCTGTAGCTCTTGAACCTTTTTACCCTAATTGACTATGTAAAGATTTTTAAAATATAAAAAAAAATTAATTTAAAAAAAAGTAAAAAAAAATATGCAGGTGTAAACAAACATAAGAAAACAAAGATCTTTGAGACGTGGTGTTACTGATGTTTGTTCTTTATGTGCTGTGTGTGTGTTCTGTTGCTCCAGAGTTTGTCTCACTCTTGGAAATTGGGGTTGTTTTCAGCCTTATTATATGCTACAGCAAATAGTCATGCAAATACATCATGTAATTAAGTACACGTAAATAAATATGTGTGCGGGTATGTCAGAATGATTTAAAACTTAGAAGTAGGTTTGTGTCGCATAGGACCCGAGCTTATTTTGAGTTAAGCTGGTTTGAGATGTTTTTGTTTTTCTGAACCTTGCTAACAGTGTTTAAACTTTTGTTTTTTGTACAATACTTAAATAATATTTCTTCTCCTTAGAAACTTCAGGGTTTGTGGACAAATTATTTGAAAGTCTCTACACTAAGAATTACCTTCCGCCTTTGGAACCAGTTAAGCCTGAGCCAAAACCACTTGTCCATGAAAAAGAGGAAATTAAAGAAGAGGTAATACAATTTTTAATTTTGTTTGTGTGAACTTCTTAGATCCTGTCATTAGTTACTTTTTTATACTAATTTTTATAGGAATTTGAAATTTTTTTTTTTAAAGTTGAAATCCTTAAATGTGGTGATTGAGGTTTCTGGATCTGGTACATTGTATAGGTTCTTTATTAGCATTTCTTAGTAATATGAACTTCAGAGAATTGAAAATATTTTGATAACTTGCTTAGAAATCCAAGAATTACTCTGCAATATTTAGATGTTAAGAGAAATCCTATCTGATGATTTATTTTAATAGAAAAAAAAAACTTGGTTAAGTGTAGAAGTGTGAGTGAAGGCAAAATATTAATAAACGTTTAAAGAAAATTTTGAAGCACATTTTCATATATATAAACAAAACGTATATTCTTTTTAGCCATATAGCATGTTTTCCTCGTCTCTACTGACTTTTAGTGTTGTCAAGATTATATAAGATTTACTTATTTATTAAGATCTGTTTATTGTTGGAAAAGAAGATTAGAGAGAAAGTTCTTCCATCTGCTGGTTCACACTCCCAAGTGGTTGCCACTGCTGGAGTTGAAGTGATCTGAAGCCAGGAGTTTCTTTGGGGTCTCCCATGTGGGTTCAGAGACCCAAGGACAAGACCGTCATCCGTTGCTTTCCTAAGCCACACGAGGGAGCTGGATCAGGAAGTGGAGCAACCAGGATATGACCTAACACCCATGTGGATTCCAGCTCTGTGATCGGAGGATTAGCATTCTATCCCACCACGCCAGCCTTGCAAACTTCATCTGTGATTCCCTTTCTCTACAGACAGCCTATTGAATAAAGTGCATTTTTAAAATAAAATGTCATGAGTTAAAATAACTCTTTTTGTTACTTTCATATCAGTAAGAGTCATAACAATAATTGGTATCGGATGAGATTTTATATATACCCATGTGTATATATTTGTTACTATTTAAAAAATAAATTGTTGGTTTTTCTATACTTCATGCCCTATCATAAATTAACATTTGAAAAAGTGACATTACTTGTTAAAGTAATATAAAAAATTGTTTTCAAAAAAAGATTTATAATTTATTTGAAAGGAGAGACAGAAAGAAGGATTCCATGCACTGGTCCACTCTCTAGATGGCTACAACAGCCAGATTGGACCAGGAGGAAGCCATGAGCCGGGAGCTTCATCTTCTATTCGCTCCCACATGGGGGCAGGGGCCCAGACACTTCAGCCAGTTTCTGCTGCTTTTTCAGCACATTAGCACTGCACTGATTTGGAAGTAGAGCAGTCAGGACTCAATCTAGTGTCCATATAAGATGCCTGTGTCAAGGCAGCGTCTTAAACTCCTACATTACAACACCTACTCCAATATGAGCATTTTTTAGAAATTCTCTTTTGCTTTACTTTTTAAAAGATTTATTTATTCTGGGCCTAGTGTGGTAGTTGAACTGCCTAATCCTCCAACTCCAATTACTGGGATCCCACTGTTTGTATTCTGGCTGCTCCACTTCCCACCCAGCTCCCTGCTTGTAGCCTGGAAAAGCAGTTGAAGATGGCCCAAAGCCTTAAGACCCTGCACCCATGTGAGAGACCTAGAAGAGGCTCCTAGCTGCTGGCTTCAGATTGGCTCAGCTCAGGCCATTCTGGCCATATGGGGAGGAACCAGAATGGAAGATTTTCATTTCTTCTCTCATCTGCCTTTCCAATAAAAATAAATCTTAAAGAGAAAATCTTAAAAAAAAAAAAAGACTTTTTTCTTACTTGAAAGTCAATGTTTTATATATAGAGAGGAAAGACAGCGAGACACTGATCTACCATAGGCTAGTTCATTCCTCAAATGACTGCAGTGGCCAGAGCTGAGCTGGTCTGAGGCTGGGAGCCATGAGCTACTACTAGGTCCCCAGGCCTGGCCATTAAATAGAAATTTGTATAGCAAGTGGAGCAGCCAAAAATGGAACCGGCTCCCATATGGGATACCAAAGCTGCAGGTGGAAGGTTAATATGCTATGCTGTGTGCTGACCTTGCCTAACTCTTGGATGTGATTTGAATTTAATATTTAATGTACATATTTCTACTTTCTCATGCCGAAAAGGTCATCAGGTGGACTTTTTTACAGAAGGACTATTTGTATTTCTAATCAATGTTTTCAAATAGGTATTTCAGGAGCCAGCAGAGGAAGAACGAGATTGCAGAAAAAAGAAATATCCTAGTCCCCAGAAGACTCGTTCTGAATCTAATGAACGAAGGTGTGTGTTTATGTTTAGTTAGGAAGACGTTGACAACTCACTTTTCAGTTGGCTTGTGAAATAATTAAAGGCATATTAACATCTTTTCTGATTCGTCTCTCAACTATCAAAATGTTACCCTGCTTCTGTTTTTTGTCTATCTTACTTTCTATTCCATTTATAAACAGCCATCATTATGTTTTCCCCAAGAGCTTAGGGGTGGGAATGGTTCCCTTAGAGAATAACGAAGTGTTCCATTTGGTTAGGGGTGTTCAGAATAAAATTATCTGTATCACTTTATATTATAAGTATCGCAATTATCATGTTGAAACACTGATTCAGCATCAAGAAATTGGTCCTTATTTAGGAAGACTTAATTTTGATTAGGTTTTATTTTCCATTTATGAATTTCTGTTTTCCCCACCCCTCTTGTGCTTTGGGTTCATCTCTCTCTCTCTTCCCTCCCCACTTGGTGTAGTACAAGTGAGAATGTGTTTTTTTTTCCCTTTCTGTATAATGAATTAGAGAGATCATATGGTAATCTTGTAGCAGAGACGTTATGAATTTTGATCACTCCAGCAGAGCATTTTGTACTGTGCATTTGTTTGCAAACCTGGTTTCCATAGCCCATATATGGCTTTTATATCTGTGTATTATAGGACACGAGATAAAAAAAGAGAAGATGGCAAGTGGAGAGATTACGACCGCTACTATGAGCGGAATGAACTGTATCGTGACAAGTATGACTGGAGAAGAGGTCGGAGTAAGAGCCGGAGTAAGAGCCGAGGTTTGAGTCGGAGTAGAAGTCGGAGTAGGGGGCGCAGCAAAGACCGGGATCCAAACAGGAATGTTGGTGAGTGGATGAGTTGTTCCTCTAGAAGCCTTTGTATTTGCTTTTCTTCTTATTTCATAGAGATGTACAAAATTCCTTAAAATTAAATATACCTTAAATGTTTAGTCAATAAAAAAGCTCAAATTTCCTTAAGAAACTGAGTATTGATTTTGTTGTAAAGTCAGAGCTGTGTTTTTGAGATGAAATCAAGGGAGTTTGCACAAAAATTATTTACAGGTTTATTGTATGTCTTTACTTAAATCTTTTTGTTTTAATTCATACAAATGCTCTTTAATCCTCAAAACTACCAAATTAAGATGGGGGATTGCCTGCTTTTGCTTTCTTGGAATAATTGGTGTGTTGTGAAGTTTCCTAAAGTTTTTATAGTTAAAAAGAGAAAAATGCAAGTTACTGGGATCCCAGGACTAACATCTTTCTCTTTTTAACTGTGAAAACTGTGAAGGCTCTAACTTTTTCATTAATTATAACTGACATTGACAATATAAAAGTTGATTTTATATGTGGTACTGTCATTTTATTCTTTTTGGATCTATTAATAATGACAATTTCAAACACAGAATTTCAGTTAGTTTATTTCAGTAATGTTTCCTATTCTGTGAGAGAATGAGAATTTGAACATAGATGTGTGATCTCTTTGTTTCTTTTTTTTTTTTTTTTTTTGTCTCTGAAACAGAGCATAGGGAAAGATCAAAGTTTAAGAGTGAAAGAAATGACCTGGAGAGTTCCTATGTGCCTGTGTCTGCACCACCTAACTCTTCTGAGCAGTATTCCTCTGGGGCCCAGTCTATTCCCAGCACCGTTACTGTGATTGCACCTGCTCACCACTCTGAAAACACAACTGAGAGCTGGTCTAATTACTATAACAATCATAGCTCTTCCAATTCTTTTGGTCGAAACCCACCACCAAAGAGGCGATGCCGAGATTATGATGGTAAAAATCACCACCTTTCCTCATTTTCTAATCCATAATATTGTGTACCTTTTTTTTTTTTTAAAGTATTTACTATTTTGGAAGTCACAGTTACATAGAGAGGGAAAGAATGATTTTCCATCTGCAAGTTCACTCCTTAGATGGCTGCAGCAGGTAACACTGGGTCGCACTGAAGCCAGGAGCCACTGAATTCTCAGTTTCCCATGTGGTTGGCAAGGAACCAAACACTTGGGCAGTTTTCACTGTTTTCACCAGGCCATTAGCACGGCACTGGTTCCCAAGTGGAGCACTTGGGAACTCAGACCAGTGCCCTTCTGGGATGCTGGTCCTGCAGGTGGTCTCTTAACGTGCTGTGTCACAATGTTGGCCACCCGTGTACCCCTTAAGTCCAGATTTAATTTAAAAAAAAAAAAAGGTGAATATGGAGGATGATATTTGGCTAGAGCCTAAGGTTTTTTTTTTTGTTGTTGTTGTTTAATGGTTTAAGTTTTGTCGGAAGATTGTTCAAATTTGACCCTTTTGAATGTTCTTGCTATTTCTTCAGGCATTGTAGGTATGTCATAAAATTAGGTAGATGCTAGGAAATTTAATTTTCTTTGTATGATGTTTATACTAAGAATTTGTTAAAGGGTATGTAATCTACTTAGAAGTTTGACCTGCTAATTTTCAATTTGAATGAATGAATCAGTATGTATTTATTTAGACTTTTATTATGGAGATATTTATGTATTTATGACAATTGACAGTATAACATTATAAATCACACTGTCTACTTTTTTGATGCAGTCTTGTTTTTAATGTATATTCTTACACATGACTTGTTTTATTTCAAGCAAGTCACAGATCACGTGACATTTTCTACAAATACAAGCTGTGCAAGTAGGGAGTAGTGTAAAATTATGATTGTTAGCTCATTCTCACCCTGGTCCCCCTGCTAGAATTCTCAACTTCTCAAAGCCAGCTTTAATGTTACCAGTTTCTTCTGTGTCTTTTTGAATGAACTGGCATGTATGTAGAAATACATGTTCTCTCTTCCACATTTGTGTGTGTGTGTGTGGAAGGGATAGTCTGCCATTTACAATACTGCATGATGTATTTTCACTTAGCAGCATTTCCTGGCTGTCATCCCAGGTTAATAAATAGTGAACTTCTTCATTTTTTAAAAAAAACTTTTATTCCTTTCTTATTAAGGTATATATTGATACATGTTTGGAATGTTTATTTATTTTTTGTTGTTATAAACAGTACCATAGTAAATAACGTGCTGCATAATTCTCACTAGAATATTTTAAACTAAAATTTCAACTGCCAGATACAATAAGAATGATTACTTTAACATAATATGAGACTCGATTATTAAATTTAAACCATGGGTAGTTCATAGCTGTTATTTCTCCCCAAGCTTTTCCTAAATTGATAGTTGCTTTAGTTTTTATTATGAAAACTTAGTGGCAAGTGGTAGAAATGTTTCTGACTGTTGTTTCAAAAGTTGTACTCTCACAGTCTAGAAAGTGGATACCTAACACTTCCCCAGGGATGTGCAGTGATTAACAGGATAACACCAGGAAGGCCCATAGGCACTGTCCTTGGAGAAAACTCCTTCATAAATCATGTCGGTGGGTTTTTCAGGGACTTGTTCTGTGTTTGTCTTCTGAATTCTGAATAGATTACAGGATACTTTTTTTTTTTTTTTTCCCATTCATACAGAAAGAGGATTTTGTGTTCTTGGTGACCTTTGTCAGTTTGATCATGGAAATGATCCTCTGGTTGTTGATGAAGTTGCTCTGCCAAGTATGATTCCTTTCCCGCCCCCTCCTCCGGGGCTTCCTCCTCCTCCGCCTCCTGGAATGCTGATGCCTCCGATGCCAGGGCCAGGGCCAGGGCCAGGGCCAGGGCCAGGGCCAGGTCCGGGCCCAGGTCCTGGCCATAGTATGAGGCTTCCTGTTCCCCAAGGACATGGTCAACCTCCGCCTTCTGTTGTGCTTCCCATACCAAGTAAGTAGATTTTGGTTAAATCTTTCTTAGTGGAGCTCTGTTTAGAAGAGCTCTTCATTTAACTACTTTGAAATTCCATTTGAAGTAGTTGAAAATTAATATTAAAACTTGGGATTTAGATGTAATTAAGGTGTGATTCTTTCCCTTTTTTGCATCCATAATTGCTTGGTGTTGTGATACCAGTAGTACAAATTGAGCTGTCCTGTGTTAATCTATAGTCAAAATCCTGTTCTTTGTTAGTGTTTTAAGAAAGGTGTTAGAGAATTTGCTCTAGTTTAAAGAGGTTTTCAATATTTAAAAAAAATATTCAATATTATTAAAATTTTAAAGAATTTTTAATTACAAGAATGTTAATATGTTTATAGAATAACATAATTGTACCTAGCCTCAGTGGATATCTATATTAAATAGTTTTTGTCAGATATCCCTCCTTTACCCCATCAAGCACATGCTTTTTTTTTTTTATTAGTTTGTTTTTGCTAGTTTTTTTTTTCCAGATTTTACATTATTTCACCATTATGTTCAGAGTAGATCTCTTCACTGGTAAGGACCTTTTTTTTTAATTTGTTTAAGATTTGTTTTATTTATTTGACAAAGTCAGGGACAGAAAAGGAGAACAAGAGGAATATTTTCCAAATGTTGATCTACTCTACAATGGCCAAGATTGCAGAGTTCCATCCTTGTCTCCAATGTTGGTGGTAGGGTTCAGTCACATGGACCCTCGTTCACTTCTTTCCCAGGTACATTAGCATGGAGCTGGATATGAAGTGCAGCAACTGGGGCTTGGACCCTGCTTATGTAAGATGCCAGCATCAGGCAATTTTTTTTTTTAAGATTTATTAATGCATTTTTATTGGAAAGACAGGTTTACGCAAAGAGAAGGAGAGGTTGAGAGAGTGATCTGTCTACTGGTTCACTCCCCAAATGGCCACAGTGGCCAGAGCTGATCCAGTGTCAGGAGACTGGAGTTTCTGGGTCTCCCACATGGATGTAGAGGCCCACGTACTTGGGCCATCTTCTGTACATTCCCAGGTGCATTTGACAGGGAACTGGATTGGAAGTGGAGCAGGTGGGATTTGAACCAGTGTCCATTTTGGAGACTGGGATTACAGGCTGAGACTTAGCTGTACTGTGTGCCTGCTCCATGAAGCATCTTAATACATAGACATGCCAGCAGTAGTTGTTATCTCATTATGGGAACATACCTATTTAAAAAAAAAATTTAAGAAATTCATGTTACCCAGCATTTTCTATGAAATATTTCAAGCCAATAGAAAAGGTGAAAGAATTGAACCCATATACTTAAACAATTTGTGTTTCACCATATTTGTGTTATCATGTTTCTTTTCTTTTCTCCATTCTGACACTTTTAAAAACTTTTTGTTGTTGTTGTTAATTGGAAGGGCAGATTTATTATTGAAGGAGAGACAGAGAAAGATCTTCATTGGCTCGTTCACTGCACAAATGGCTGCAATGGCTGGAGCTGAGCTGATCTAAAACCAGGAGCTTTTTCAGGATCTCTCACTCAAATGCAGGGTCCACAGGCTTTGGGCCATCCTGTACTGCTTTCATAGGCCATAATCTGGGAGCTAGATGGGAAGTGAAGCAGCCAGGTCACAAACTGGCATCCACACTGGATGCTAGTTCTTTAAGGCAAAGGATTAGCCAATTAAGCCATCACACCAGCCCCGTTCTGATGCATTTCACAGTACATTGCAGAGTTCTTTAGAACTTTATCATTTCAGAAAGTTTCCTTAAATCCTTTCCCATTCTTGACCTCGGTTCTGTTTACACCTGGGTTAGTATTGCTTGTTCTAAAGATTGTTGTATTAATTAAACAGTGTACAATGAAACAATTTAAACAAACCTTCATTTGTTAAATTGTCTAATTCTGTTCAAAACCAAAGAAGATATTTTGAGTATCAAAATGAGTATTAGTACGTTGGAGATCTTTGTAAAGATACAGATTAAAGGCAGGAACCAGGAGCTTCATTCAGATCTTTCATGTGCGTGGCAGGGGCTCAAGCACTTTGGCTTTCTTTTGCTGCTTTCCCAGATACCTTAACAGGAAGCTAGACTGGAAGTAGAACAACCAGGACATGAATTGGCCTCTGTAGGATCTTGGCATCACAGGTGGTGTCTTATTTAGCCCACTGTGCCTCAACATGGCCCCAACACTTGACTATTTTTGTTAGGAAATATCAGTGCTCTATATTTCACTTTCTGTTGTCTGTAGGACCACCCATAACACAGTCAAGTTTAATAAACAGCCGTGATCAGCCTGGGACAAGTGCAGTGCCCAATCTTGCACCAGTAGGAGCAAGACTACCTCCTCCTTTACCCCAGAACCTCCTTTATACAGTATCAGAACGTAAGTAAATGTTGTTTGACTTAGAATCTTTGAGATGCTGAAGAGCCAGGTTTTGCCATATCAGTATTACCCTTTGAAAAATGATTATATTTTGAAGATTTATTTATTTATTTGCAAAGCTGAGTTGCTGAGACAGGAGTGGAGTGAGGTGGGCAGCAGATCCATCTTCGATGCGCTGGTTCACTTTTGAATAGTTTCATCACCCAGGGCAGGGCCAGGCTGAGGCCAGGAGCCTGTAACCCCAGGCAGGTCTCCCATGGAGGGTCGTGGCAGAGGCCCAAGCACTCTGGCCATTCTCTGCTGCTTTCCCAGGCACATTAGCAGGATGCTGCATCAGAAGTAGAGCAGCCAGGACTGAAACGGGCAATCCTGTGGGATGTCACATTGCAGGTGGTGGTTTTAATCTATTGTGTCACATCCCAGCTCCAGTTAATGACTGGTTTATATTCTTACAGATTCTGTAACATATATTGTTTTTATTATGTCACATAGCCATATTTTAATTTGTGTAATACATGAGAGAAAAACAAAGCCTTGTGTTTTAGAGAAATCGTAACATTTAGTTTCAGGGAACTTGTTTTGATTCTGTGTTCAATAGTTGTCTCTCTGACTTTAAACTGTGAGGGTTATCTCCTGAGAAGCTTGCAAAAGACTGGGTAAGATAAATCTAACATATTTAACATGTTGAGATAATGATAGAAATCCATTGTTTAAGTAGTAGTGTTTGAGGTTTAGAGTGTTTTAAGATTTGTCATAGTTTGTTTTAATCTCTTTCATTTCTTAGATATTTGGTATACTCAAGCTCTTTTTATTTCTTAAAAAACAAACGAGTGGTTGTTAAAATGTCAGATATGAGGTTTTTCTATGTAAATCTAAGTGATTGTATTATATCGTTATGCAACTGTGATTGTCTTAATCTCTTGTGTAACTGTATCATTAGATTTCTTTCTTCTAAACATACTTTTCTCCTACTTGTCATAAAGAGGCAGTTTGACCAAAATAGTTAACTCCTTGTTCAATCACTTTTTGATTTTAAGTAAGCTTCTTAACCAATGTCACTGTCCTCTTGTTCTTCGTTTTTAAAAGTTACAATTTTTTTTTTTTAAATTTGAAGGGCAGAAGTACAGAATAGGAGAGACAGATAAATAGTTCACTCCTCGGATGGCCCTGACAGCCAGGGCTGAAACCCAGATCTCCTCCACGGAAGCCAGCGGCCCAAGCACTTGGAACATCTTCCACTGCTTTTCCAGGCTGTTAACCTGGAGCTGGATCAGAAGTGGAGCAATTGGATACAAACCAGCACCTATGTGGAATGTTGGCATTTGCAGGCAGTGACTTTACTTGCTATGCCACAACGCTGACCCTTACTTGATAATTTTTTGTGTATATAAATCTTACAATCCTTTGAGCTTATTCAGAAAACAAATATCTATTACTTAAGTACTTTATATTTTATATTTATTATCATTCTTCTGATTAGTATTTTTCACAATGTATGTTCTTTTTGCATTCTTATTGTTATTTTAAGATTTATTTTTAATTTTTATTGCAAAGTCTCTCCAAGTGGCTGCAACAGCTGGAGCTAAACCAATCCGAAGCTAGGGTCCAGGAGCTTCTTTCACGTCTCCCACATATGTGCAGTCTTCGACTGCTTTCCCAGGCCATAAGCAGAGAGTTGGATGGGAATTAGGGCAACTGGGATTAGAACTGGTGTCCATATGGAATCCCGGTGCATGCAGGGCAAGGACTTTAGCTGCTAGGCTAGTGCGCCAGGCCCACCAGGAGCTTCTTCCAGGTCTCCAGTGCATGTACAGGGTCTCAGAAAGCATTGGGCCGCTCTTCACTGCTTTCCCAGGCCACAAGCAGGAAGCTGGATGGAAAGTGGGGCAGTTGGGACATGAACCGGTGCCCATATGGGATCCAGGTGTGTGCAAGGCAGTTTTAGACTTTAGGCTATTGCGCTGAGCCTATATTAGATGTTTTTATAACTGCTGCACAAGCATATTATGTAAGAATATTCATATCAGACATTTTTATAACTGCTATACAAGCAAGTTTGTGGTTTCTTCCTTTTTTAAGGAAAACCTAGAATTTTGTTCTAAAGTTTATAGAGACATTTGAAAACCTAGAATATAGTTTCTAATAATAAGCCAAACAGTAAAAAAAAATTGAAGTGTATATATTGTAGTCCTATAGATTTGCAGGAGTAGATTGTAGCATAGAGTATCAGTCATCAGCTTTTATGTCTTATGGAAATTATGTTGCTCAAACAGATTATTTTACATTGTTTCTTAGCCAATTAAGTTGACTCTTTTAAATTCTTTAGGTTTTTTTTCTTTTAAGATTTATTTATATTGCAAAGTGAGATATATATATATATAGAGAGAGAGAGAGAAAGGAGGAGAGACAGAGAGGAAGCTCTTCCATCTGATGATTCACTCCCCCAAGTGACTGCAACTGCTGGTACTGAGCTGATCCCAATCCAGGAGCCAGGAGCTCTTCCAGGTCTCCCACGCGGGTGCAGGGTCCCAAAGCTTTGGGCCATCCTCGACTGCTTTCCCTGGCCACAGGCAGGGAGCTGGATGGGAAGCGGGGCTGCGGGATTAGAACCGGCGTCCATATGGGATCCCGGCACATTCAAGGCGATGACTTTAGCTGCTAGACCACAGCACCGGGCCCAGGGTTTATTTTTTTTTAACTATTGTAATCTGGTTTCAAAAACCCTGGAACTTGAATGTTAACAGCTGTGTTATGTTTGTAGTGTAACAGAGAGCTTGAACTGTCCTGAAAGTTTAACAAGTGGGAAAGGTCTAAATTATGGATATTTCATTGCCATTATAATGGTTAACATTCATAGCACACAAAGTATTTATAAATAAAAAACAGCATATAAGATTTTTTTATTTTGTTGTGAAAATTAGAGATTCCAAATAAATAACAATGAAATCTAGACTTACAGAGATAAAAGTAGGTGTTTGTTCCAGTGTTAGTGCTAGGTGCTGGGAATATACAGATGAATATGGATGAGTGGCATTGTGACATCCCATGGTTGCTGTCAGACCCAGTGCAGCGTGTGGTTCAAGTAATGGATGCATGTAGCATCCTTGGTGGTTCTTGGATTGAAGGTAATTGTCCACTCTTTGAGTTCTCATAAATAATCTTTTAGAAGATAGTTCTCCTGTAGCTATACAAATAGTAAAACACCATGTTTAGTAACTTGAGATTTGCTCATTTAATTTTGTAGAATAGGTAGCATTTTTTGGTGTGGTCCCGGGCTATAGTGTCTAGAAAGGTGAATCAGAATGCTGTGCAGAGATTCTCTCCCTTTGCAGTTTACATTAGTTGTCATAGTACCCATTTCAGCATTGTTCTCTGGGTACTTTATGGTTTAACCTCCTCTTTAAGGGACTGTTGAGTTCCTACCACGTACCAGACACCATTTAGGACACAAAATACTGTGATACAGAAGATAATAATAAACATGGATACTCTTTGGAAGGTGTAGCTTTCCTTTCTGTTTGTTTCTTTTCAGTATGAATTTTAGGTTATCTTACAAATTTTTCCCCCACGAAAATTAGGAAAAATCAGGGAAGTTATGGAAAGGGACTAAAATTTTACTTTGGATAAAGACTGTCTTTAGAATAGGAATTAAAAATGTGAGAACTGATACTAGACATGTAAGAAGAAAAAGTGCTTGTTTTGTAATTTGACAGGCGGAGCCAAAAAAAGAGAGAGAGAGATGCAGATAAGTTTTCCATTGTCATATTCCATCCCAAGTAGCTGCAATGACTGGGGCTGGGCCAGAGGAAAACCAGGAGCTTCCTTTGTGTCTCCTGATGTAGGTGACAGTGGCCCGTGAACTTGAACCGTCCTATGCTGCTTTCCCAGGCATGCTAATAATGGGTTGGCTGAGAGTACCCACACAGGATACAGACTGGATTTTAGACAGTATACCACCACCTTGGTCCCTCTGGGACCTCTTGGGCCTCTGGCCATTAGGTCTACTCCTATGCTGCTGACATCTCATATGTGTGCTGGTTCAAGTCCCAGCTGCTCTACTTCCAAACCTTCTCCTTATTTTTTTTTTTTTTTTAAGATTTTATTTATTGGAAAGTCAGATATACAGAGAGGAGGAGAGACAGAGAGGAAGCTCTTCCGTTCGATGATTCACTCCCCACGTGAGCGCAACGACCGATGCTATGCTGATCCAAAGCCAGGATCCAGGAACTTCTTCCAGGTCTCATGGGTGCAGGGTCCCAAAGCTTTGGGCCGTCCTTGACTGCTTTCCCAGGCCACAGGCAGGGAGCTGGATGGAAAGTGGGGCTGCTGGGATTAGAACTGGTGACTGTATGGGATCCTGGCACCCTCAAGGAGAGGACTTCAACTACTAGGATACCACGCCGGACCCTGTTAGTTTTTTTTAATTTGAAAACTTGGGTAGATAGAGATATCCCTTGATTCATTCCTGAAATGCTTGCTCTGGTCATTATGTGGATTCACAGACTAGAGGCAGGTGTGGGGTCTAGGCCCTCTGATACGATCAAGTGGCTGGATTCTGGAGCTAGAGGCAAGCACTGAATCCAGGAGCACTCAGGCACTCTAGCCCAGCATCCAAGTCTGTCCCTTGTTTGTGTTTGGTGTATGATACCCTTCTTACTTGTCTGCGTATCTCTGTCTTATTGTATACAAAATTGTTAGCTCAGGGATTCTTTGTCTTATAACATGATGGAGTTGGTTATTTAACTTTTAGCAAAGTTATTACCTAGATTCTGTTTTTAAGATTGTAAAATATGGGATTATATAATTGGATTGCCTAAATCTTATTCTTTTTACATCAATGTATCCTAACTGGTTACATATCAGGGCTCTCATGAACTGAAGAGAATCTCAATAATGTCCTTCTCCCTTACTGTTCCTGTTGGTAAAATTTGTGTTCTTAGTTCAAGATTTTAATAAGTGCATCTTTGTCTAAGAGAAGCTCTGGAACCTGAGTCTCAGCTGTTCTCTTGTTTTTTCCTCCTCAGGACAGCCCATGTATTCTCGTGAGCATGGTGCTGCTGCATCTGAGCGAATTCAGTTAGGGACACCGCCTCCTCTGTTGGCAGCTCGCTTGGTACCACCTCGCAACCTCATGGGATCTTCCATTGGGTACCATACCTCAGTCTCCAGTCCCACCCCTCTGGTCCCAGGTAAGCTTTGCTACAGAAGACCATCCTCCTTGTTGATCTTGTGTACCATAATAAAGTGGTCGACCTGAGAGGAAGATCTTCTGTCCAACGATTCACTCCCAAAGCAGCCGCAATGGCTGGAGCTACACCAATCCGAAGCTAGGAGGAAGGAGCTTCTTCAGGTCTCCCACATGGGTTCAGGGTCCCAAGGCTTTGGGCCGTCCTTGACTGCTTTCCCAGGCCACAAGCAGGGAGCTGGATGGGAAACAGGGCCAATGGGATTAGAATGGGCGACTATATGGGATCCTGGGAGGTGCAAGGCAAAGATTTTAGCCTCTAGGCCACCACACCCAGCCCGTATGTTGTCTTTAAATGAGGGCTGTGACCTTAGAAGCTTTTATTTTCATGTTGTCTTCAAATTATATTGGCCTTAAATAAACCTGCATTTAATAAACAAGGAGGTGAAATATGCTTGTAAGTTGCATGTGTTGTTGAAGTGTATATATTTCTTTGAGGAGGACCTTCCTTTTGATTCAGACTACCTTTAGTTGGTTTAAAGAAACTAATTACAGGATCTGGCAAGGTAATGTAGTGGCTAAAGTCCTTGCCTTACATGTGCTGGGATCCCATATGATGCCTGGTTCATGTCCTGGAGGCCCCGCTGCCCATCCAGCTCCCTGTTAGTGGCCTGGGAAAGCAGGCAAGGATGGCCCAAAGCCTTGGAACCCCGCACCCACATGGGAGAACCAGAAGAGCACCTGGCTTCGGATCGGCACACTTCCGGCCATTGCAGCCGCTTGGGAAGTGAATCAGTGAATGGAAGATCCTCCTCTCTGTATATCTGACTTTACAATAAACATAATAAAATAACTCTTAAAAAAACCAGAAATTACAGAGAGGAGAGTTAGAATATAAATTAAATATGAGATCCAAATAATACTCCTTGGAGGTTAGCCCTAAGCCTGGCCCTCTTAAAATGCAGAGTTCATGTGGTTACATTAACCACTACCATTCAATTTAGAGACTGAGTGCGAGCTTGGGGATGAAATACCGATTCTATAGTCTCATCATTGTGATGATAATTTATTAAATTTTCTGACCTGTTCTCTTGAGGAGGGAAAATACAAATGAGCCTAGTGATGATTTTCAACATTACTTAACATTTCTTTAATCTTTATTTATTATTATTATCATTTTATGATACAGTTAAAGAGGCTCCTGGGATTTCCCTTATCCCCTCCCCAATTTCCCCCCCACCAGCATAGTTCCCCCATATCATTACTAAAGTATACTTCTTCATACACCATCCATCATTGCCAGCACGGGTAATGGCAGAGTCCAGCATCCTGTTGTTTGTCAAGATATAATAAGCACTTTCATTTTAAGTCCATGTTTGTCTGGAAGTAGAGATGCATGCTACATTGTATCCTCACTTCTGGATATGTTAGTCTCCCATTTCACAGTTGCTGTACAGCCCGTTAAATTAAAAGTCACAGTACAAAATCAACAATAGAAAGAAAAATAGAAATTTATAATGCCATGAAGTTAAATAACATGTTACTAGATATGGCAATCTCCATTACACAGCTACTATACATCCCCTTAAGTGAAAAGACACAAAACAAAATCAACAACAGGAAGAAAAAAGAAATTAACAACACCATGAAGTTAAATAACATGCTACTGAATGACTAATGTGTCGCTGAAGAAATGAAAATCAAGAACCTTAAAGAAAATGATGCTACTGTATGATCTATGAGTCATTGAAGAATTTAACCAGAAAAACCTGCTTTGAAGAGATTAAACTAACAAAAACAAAAAAATCAAAATCCATGAGATATAGTTTCTGCTGATTTTTGTTGGTGAAATTTGTCTCCTGTTGGACAAATAAATGGGTTTTGTTTTTTAATCCAATCTACTAATCTGTGACTTTTGATTGAGCTCAAGCCATTTACATTCAGGGTTGATATGTATGGGTGGTAATTTGGTCTTGTCATTTTAGGAATAGGTTGTTCATTGATTTAGTCTTCTGTTGTCATTTTACTGGGATGTTCTTCACATTTGCCTTTGGTTTTGTTGGGTACTATTCCTCTTCTCTTTCAGGAGAACATATTTAAATATTGTAGGGCAGCTTTGAAAGAGGCAAACTCTTTTAACTTTTCTTTACTGTGGAAGAATTTGATTTCATTTTCAAAGACAAAAGAAAGCTTTGCTGGATATATTATCCTGGGCTGACCATTTTTTTCTTTTAGAATCTGGAATATGTCATTCCATTCTTTTCTTGCCTGAAGAGTTTCCTGTGAGATATCAGCTTTGAGTTTAATTTTCGTTCCTCTATATGTCAGTTGATTTTTTTTTCATGCACTTTAAGGATCTTTTCCTTATGTTCAATTGCATAGAGCTTGATGATCATGTGTCATACTGAAGATCGCTTTTAATCTGGCCTGTTGGGAGTTCTCTGCCCCTCCTGGATGTTATTTCCCAATTCTTTCTATAGATTAGGGAAAATTTCCCTTATTATTTCATTAAATATGTTTGTAAAACCAGTTTATCTTTCTGCACCTTCTGGGACTCCCATAACTCTTATATTAGGCCTCTTAATAGTGTCTTTCAATTCTTGAATACTTTTTTTGGCCTGATCCAGCTCTGCTTCCAGCTTTTTGTTTGCTTCCCCTGGTGACAGGAAATATCTTCCAATTCTGAGATTCTTTCTTCTGTTTGCTTCATTCTATTTTGGAGACTCTCCATTGTACTTTTAATTTGCTCTACTGTGTTCCTAATTTCTGATAATATCAGCCTTGATTTGCTCTATTGTTGCTATTTCTTGTGTAACATATTCCTTAAATTCTTTGAACTCTTGTATGTGCTTCTCATTGTTGATCAGAAGCTTTATAGTGAGTTTTCTGAATTCTGTGTTCCCCATTTTCTCGATGTCTCCCTCAGTTAACTCTGAGGTTGGCATAGGGTTTTGCTCTTTTACGGGGGAGTCTTCAGTAATATTCATTTTGCCTGTGTGTCTTCTTTTGCTGTTGGTCATTGCAATTCTAGTTACCAGATTCTTTTCTTTGGGGCAGGTTTCTAAGCTCTGTCACCCATAGGTCTACTGTTCAATTTTACTTACTGCAGTTGGTTTATGGTTCTTTCTTTGCAGCAAATTATGCTATTGCCTCCAGTGATTTCCAGGTCTGGGTTCTTATGTTAGATTTCCACCATGGTCTCTACAGCCCCAGCTGCTGGCTCACCATTTTCCACCCCATGTGATATCATGCTGAGGTTGCACTGTTGTCTCTGCAACCTTTCTCCCACTTCCGGTTGGAGCAGGTCCCAGGATTAGGGATACACCAGATGTCATATAGAGCTAGGTTGTTGTTGGTGCTGATCTTGCCGGAACCTGTTGGCCAGTAGGTCTGGTGCCACATGGACCTATTCTGACCCATATGATGCTAAAGTCATTGTTATTTTCCTGTGGGACCAGTGCAATCCGCTGAACTGTGTGTTCTTGTGAGCTCAGCACATGTGCAGTTCACTGTTGCCCCTGCAATCCTAAAACTTTTGCCACAGCGTACAAAATGGCACCTGACGTGCTACTACTAGAGTTCTTGATCTGCTATATATCAGGTCTGAGGGTTACCCAGACCTGTCTTGGGTGGAACCTGTAGGATGCCACGTTGCTGCAGTTCACTGAGTCAGAAATGAGTTCACTCCCAGCTCAGCGTATGCTCTGTCCTTTCCTTTGCCTTTGCCTCCCTAGGCAAAATGGTGCCCAGTTCGGCTCTAGGGGGCTGACTGGGCTCTGAAATCTACCCTGTTCTCGCACTGCCTGTCTGGGATCTGCTGCTCTGTCTCTGCTCCTGGTCAAATCAAACAGACCAGCAGGATGGACAGTTCTTGGGTTTACTCCCAAGCTCCCAGTGAAAGTCCCTTCCCACCTGGTTGCTGGTGGAGTTCGGGTCGCCATTAACTGAATGCAGCTGGATTATCAGTCACTGCATCACCACACCATTGTTTTCACTGCTTTGCTGTGTTTGTCAGTCTCCAGGTACCCCTCTGTTGTTCTGTCCTCTCCTATTTCCTGGAATGTGTCCTCTCTGCTTCATCCTGATTAAATGCTTCACTGTCCTTTTAAACATGTCCTTACCCTATTCTGCCATCTTGGTTCTACCCATTGTTTAACATTTTATTAAAGAGAAACAGCTTTTATTGTTGACACATTTTGTGAACCATTTTCAAAACCAAACGAGAATGGGAATGAGGTAAAGAGAAGGAATGCTAATCAGCGTTTCTAGTTATTTATTTTATTTTATTTTAATGACAGAGTTAAACAGACTGGGAGAGAAAAAGAGGGCCTCCATCCACTGGTTCATTTTCCAGCCAGATGGCTAAAATGATTGGAGCTAAGCTGATTTAAAGCTAAGCCAAGAGCTGGGAGTCCCCTCAGGGTCTTTCATGTGAATGAGGAATCCCAAGGCCTTGAGCCATCTTTCACTGCTTTCCCAGACCAGAAACAGAGAGCTGGGTCAAAAGTGGAGCAGCCAGGACACAAATTAGCATACCATATTGAATGCCAATGCCTCAACCAGAGGCTCAGCCTACTGTGGTTCATTACTGGCCCTCATGTTTCAAGTGGATACCACATATACTTTTTAAAAATATTTTTTCTTTATTTTTGAAAATCTTTACATAGTTAATTAAGGCACAAAGGTTCAAGGGCTACAGGAAAGTGGGTGAGACTATTATTTCCACATTGTTTTTTTTCTGTATCTGGGGTAAAGGGGAAGATGAAGGGAGAAGTCCCATCCAGCCTCCCACCCATCCCAGGTCCCTGATGTGGGGCATGCTCCAAGGGTCTTGTTCAAGTGGTTTTGATAGTTGAACAGCTATGAATTGTTCTGAATCTCACCTTTTCAAGCACGATGAGGTCGCTGAAAAATCTACTGATTGACATGGTCCACCCTAGAGTCTCCGTTTGCCCAGTTTTTCGCTGCCAACACATGGCTGGAGTAGTTGATTGATTTGTTCTGTCTTCACCTTGCTTAATGACATTTTATTTATTTCAGACTCATGGTAACCCAGGGGTGTTTTGTGTGAGGAGAGAATTTGCTTATGAATCAGAAATTAGGGAAGCTCAGTGTTCATGGAACAGAGTCAGTCTGAGAAGGTTGAGTTGGAGAAATGTCCTGCCATGGAGACTTCTTAGAATCTTGTGTTTACTTTGATGGGAGCAGCAATCTCCCATCATTACAGGCCAAGATGGTCCCCTAAATGGGATGATCTGTTAATCTGTCCCCTCTCCCCCGGTCTATCTGCTTTCTTCTTTATTTAATAATTAAAAAAAAAAAAAAAGAATTTCCCTTTTCATTTTCTCTCAGGTTTCTTAAGTCCCTAGTCTCGGCTGGGACCTGGTCACCTCAGGGAGCCTTCACTGAGGAGTAACTGGAGTGGGGCCCAAAGTGGGTGCTGGTGTGGTAGGAGTTGGGGGTGATGAGAGAGACGCCAGAGGACCATCAGGGCGTGCTCCATGAGGTGAGGCTCTGGCCACCGCTGCTTCCTCCTCCTCCTGTTTTTCAAGAAGGAGCTCAGAATATCTGCTGTTGCTTTCTTCAGGGCTCGATCATTAGGCAAGGTGCACGGTGAGGTGCTCAGGGTCCAAATGGTGCAGTTTATGCTGAGTGTGCGGCCAGGGCAGTCAGGAGGAAACCCAGAGTCAGAGTTCAGAGCCCTGAGGTGCCTCGGCAGCCCCAGTGTGGGCTGTGAGACCTGTGGGACCACTTCCTTCACAGCCTGCCCTCTTGCTGAAGCACAGATGTACGGTGGTAGCGCTCTAGGAGGATGGGTCCGCAACCTTCCCACCACTGCTCCAGGGCTAGTGTGGCCTGAGTGCCCCGGGAAGGGACAGGTGGTGAGTCTGGATTGCTGTAGCAGCAACACTGAGCCATGCCCACAGGCCCTGACCGGGGCGTGGTGACATCCTAATCTGTTTTTTTTTTTTTTTTTAAAGATTTGTTTACTTTTACTTGAGAGGTTTTCAGAGAGGAAAGACAGAGAGGATCTTCCTTCTGTTAGTTCACTCCCCAAATGGACACAGTGGCCAGAACTGACAGATCTGAAGCCAGGAGCTCCTTTCTGGATCCCCTAGGTCAGTGTAGGGGCCCAAGTACTTGAGCCATTCTCTGCTGATTTCCCAGGTCAGAAACAGGGAGCGGGGTGGGAAGTGGAGCCTGTTAAACCACAAGGCCAGCCCCTAATCCATTTATTTTACAATCTGCATGTAGAAATGCTGGCCAGTGGTAAAGATTTGAAAACACTTTAAATTGTAGCTAAAACTTGATGTGAGTTACATATGGAATTTTTCCATTTAGAAGGAAGAACAAAAGATAAATAGACTTCTAAATCACAGCTGTGAAGATTAGTGTTTTATTTATTAATTAAAGATTTATGTATATTTGAAAAGCATAACTGAGGGAGGAGGTGGTTGAGAAAAACAGGTGGAAGCTTGCTTTTCCACCTGCTGGTTCACTTCAAATGGCTGTGATGGCTAGAGCTGGGCTGGTCCAAAGCAGTTAGCCAGGAGTTTTTTGGGTTCTCACATGAGTGAAGGAACTGAAGCACTTGGGCCATCCTGCACTACTTTCCCTGGCACAGAGGCAGGATGCTGGGGCTGAAGTTGTGCAGCTGGGACCCTAACCTGTGCTCATCTGGAATGCTGGTACTGCAGCCTGCAGCTTTTCCTGCTCGGGCAAAGATCAGTGTCTAGTCAGTCTTAATCCTTCCATTCTTTGTGGGATAAAGACAATAAATACTGTTTAGAGAGAAACATTTGGAAACATTTTCAAAAACACTCAGAACATAGTTATGTAGTATTTAATTTTAAGAAAATGTTGAGTTGTATAAGTTCAGGAAGCATAAAAACACATTGATGGGGTGGTAATTATAATTACTGTTTTTATAAGTATGTAATTTATTTGATTTAGTTGTATTTGATGTAAGTTTTGTATGTGAAATCAGCTATTATCTATTTAAGGTACAGATAACTAAATGAATAGATTGTTCCCTTCTCTCTATAGAGTTCTTAAAATATGGTGAATTATGAGATAGTAGAGGAAGTCCAATCACATCATTTATAATATTCATCTGCATGAAAGTTTGTCTTTAAAATGTGCTTTGAAGTTTTAGATCAGGTGATTTAATGTACAGGGTAGAAATGACTAGTTGAATTTAGGAATTATTGGTGTTTAAGAAAAATGTACATGTGTATGTTTTGTGGCAGTGTTTTTTTCTCTCTTCTAAAAGCTGTATTTATATTCTCTGACTTAAAGAGAAATGTGTAGGGGCCTAGCGGCTTGGCCTAGTGGCGCGAAAGTCCTCGCCTTGAACACACCGGGATCCCATATGGGCGCCGGTTCTAATCCCAGCAGCTCCACTTCCCATCCAGCTCCCTGCTTGTGGCCTGGGAAAGCAGTCGAGGACGGCCCAAAGCCTTGGGACCCTGCACCCGCGTGGGAGACCCAGAGGAGGTTCCTGGTTCCCTGCTTCGGATCGGCTCAGCTCTGGCCGTTGCGCTCAGTTGGGGAGTGAATCATTGGACGGAAGATCTTCCTCTCTGTCTCTCCTCTTCTCTGTGTATCTGACTTTGTAATAAAAATAAATAAAGCTTTAAAAAAAAAGAGAGAGAGAAATGTATAGACATGGATATAATTATTTGTTGAAAGTAGGTGTTTTTTAGTAGTTGTTTATAGTAATGAGGAATAGTTTGACCTCTACCCAATGTGTTACTTACTCTGTTGTTTTGTTTTCTCAGATACATACGAGCCGGATGGTTACAACCCAGAAGCCCCTAGTATTACCAGTTCTGGTAGATCTCAGTACAGACAGTTCTTTTCAAGAACGCAGACACAGCGCCCCAACCTGATTGGCCTGACCTCTGGAGATATGGATACAAATCCAAGAGGTGAGGTGCCTTGAATTCTTTCTGATGTTATGTGTTATGTGGCAGTTGAATATAGTTGTTTTTTGGAAAAAGATGTGCTTATGTGTTTGAAAGGCGTGGTAGCAGAGAAAGAGCAAGAGAAACAGATCTGCCATGTGCTAGTTCATTTTCTAAATGACTGCAACAGCTAAGGCTGTGATGAAACAAGGAGACTGAGGAGTCATCCAGGTTTCCCAGTCAAGTGTCAGGAAACCGATACTTGAGACATTGGCCATCATAGGTTAACAGGGAGCTGGACTGGAAACAATACCCAGGCCTCAAACTGGCTGGAACCTAGGCATTTAAGCAGTGACTGAAGTTGCTGTTCCACAGCACCTATGGCTGAATATAGGAATTATGCTTTCATTTTTCTTCTTGCTTGAGGAAATTAAGCTCTAAATCTTGTTATATACTAACTTTGTGAAGAGTACTATGTAGTCAGCTACAGAGAGAGGAGAGACAGAGAGCTCCAGTTCACCGGTTCACTCTGCAAATGGTCAGATGGCCAGGGTTTAGCCAGACTCACGCCAGGAGCTGGAGCATCATCCGGGTCATTTGTGTGGGTGTGTGTGCCCAAGTAATTGGGCCATCTTGCACTTCTTTCCCAGGCATACAAGCAGGAAGTGGCTCAGAGTGCAGCAGTTTTTTATTATTTTATTTTGGTAGGATTTGAGATTGTTTTAACGATATGTGAGTGACTGTGTTGAATATTGAATATCCAAACAAGAAACCAATTTTACCCTCAAAAAAACTGATCTTTTTTTTTTTTTTTTTTTTTAAGGTTTGTTTTATTTGAAAGGCAGAATGACAGATGGAGAAATATTAAGAAAGAGAGCCTTAATCCTCTGGTTCACTCCCTGAATAGTCACAACAGCCTGGCTGAAGCCTTAAGCCTGGAATTCCATCTGTCCCTCTCACATTGATAGTGGGGATCCAAACACTTGTACCATTTGCTGTTATTTTCCCAGGAACGTTAATAGGGGGCCCGAAAACCAGCCATTTAAGAGCTTGCCTTGACCATTTTTACTGTTTATGATTACAGCTATAACTTAGGAGCTTTACAAATCTTAGGAAAATCCTAGAAATAAGATCGATATTAAATTTGGGTATGTACATTGAATATGGATTTATAATCTTCCTCACCCCTAGCCACCTTAAAAAAAACTCGATTTATGAGTTTGATGAGGAATTTCTTAGTTTAATGTTATAGGCAAATTTCTAGTATTCCATTTGTATGACTGACCATGGGCTCTGACAGTATTAGTCATATGGCAAACACTTTAGTTCTTGCCTTTATTCCTATCTTGATTTTACTAACTCTTCTTGCTGCCATCAATAATTTTACCAATATAAGGTGCCAGTTTAAAATCATAACTACACCAGATGCTTTTTAATATATATTATCTCATATTTTTTATAATACCTTCATAAAAGAGGCACTTTTTTTTTTTTTTTTTTTTTTTGGCCTTTCAAGGCGAGGACACTAAGGTTTAGAGAGGCTCAAGAACTTGGCCAAGGTTGGACTGCTGTTAAGTGGCAGAACTAAGTTTGGGCTCATGTTGATCTAATTCTGAGGAATATGCCTTTGTGCTTTAGTGTATCATTGCTACCCAATTACCTGAGACGGGGGAAAGTCACGTTCTGCTGTGCACATCTTCCTTTTGTCACTAGTCTGATCTGTGCTTATCCAAACACAGAAATCCATAGAGCTGTCTGTCTTGTGTAGAGCTCATGTGTTTTATATCCTGCAGGCTTGCTTTGTTGTTTTTTTTGTTTTGTTTTGTTTTACTTTTAAGATTTTTTTTAATTTGTTTTTTTTCTCATTTTAAAATTAATTAGCTAAATAATTTTATTATTTTATGATAAAGTTCCAAAGGCCCTGGGTGCAGGCTTGCTTTGTCATTTGGACAAATCACTGACCCTTTAGCTTTAGCTGTTTCCTTTTTCATTAGGCAGTGTAAGTTGTCAATAATAACTAAGGGAAGTACAGAGACATTTCAAAATTTGAAATTATTTATACCATAATAGTTGCTATCTCCTCCACTGGCCTTCTGAAAGCATCCTACAAGAACATGGATCATGTTTATTAAATTCACTTCTTTATACAAAAGGTATAAGAGTTGCTGAGCTGTGAAATAGCTAGCTGCTCAAGAAATATACATAATGCGAATTTCTGTTTACGTCATAGTCTTTCTGGTGGTCACACCATTATGAAATGAAATAGAATACCCTGTGTCTGGTAGCAAATGTTACTCTATGCTTGGTGGAATTCCTGAGCTTAAGAGGGAAATACTCAGGGTGTAACAGATACAGTTTTGTGTTGTTATTTAACTCTGTTGAGGATACCTCTACAAGGCAACCTATTACCAAGGGTAATTTCTTGTAACATTTTTGTATTGTTTGTTGTGAGAGAAGTATGCCAATTTTTAGTACTGGCTTTAGACTTTTGAAGTTTTGGATTTGGAAGTTTTTAGAACTATAAAAACCAAAGGAATGCAATGAGTACTTGAATGCCTTTGGATTTACCAGTTAACATTCTCTCACTCCTGGGCATGAATTCTCATGTACATACTCTTTCCTTTCTCTTCTGCCACTTTTTTCCCCCTGAACTGCTTGAAAGTAAGTGGTAGATATCGTGATAAGAAAAAGTCCTCTACAATATCATTCTCATACATTAGTAGGTAAATAATTCCATTGTAGTTTTTATTCCTTAAGATTCAGTGAATTTTTTGCTGAATTGCCTCAAAAGGCAAACAATACCTGTGTATTAATGATGTGAGGCTTGCTTGCCAAAGGTGATATGTGTTATTTCTCAAATTTGATTAGTTTATTAAGTGGCTCTTTGATGCCGTATGAAATGTCTTGTTGTCCTTCAACAATTTTTCACTAATAATTTTTCTATTCATGATATATGCCTGCATTCACACTGAGGTGTTGGCCTCTGTGTTACTGCAGTTTAAGCTGTTGTTTGGACTGCCTGAATCTCATACTGGAGTGTCGATTCCCCTCTGTTTCTGATCCAGCTTTTTCTCTTGTGTCCTGGGAGGCAGTGGATAATGGCTCAGTGCTTGGGGCCCCCCTGCCTTCCAGGGGAGAGAGCTGCCAAGTCTCTGGTTCCTGACTCCAGCCTAAGGTAGCACAGGCATTCAAGGAGTAACAAGCTGAGGTAGAAATCTTCTCTCTCTCATTCTCTCTCTGTTACTGAGTCTTTCAAGTCGATGAAGATAAATAAAAATAAGCATTACAAAGGTTATTGTGGTTGTCTTAAGTTTTAAATTTTTAATTTCTATTCCTTTAAGAGGAGATAAAGGAAATGATAGTAGTTGAGTGCTATGACTTACTAGCTTTTAGACTAAATACTTAAATAAGTTGAAATTCTCCAAAAACTTAATAATGTGAATTTTTGTTTCCAACAGCTGCCAACATAGTCATCCAGACAGAACCACCAGTTCCTGTATCAATTAATAGCAACATAACCAGAGTAGTTCTCGAACCAGATAGTCGGAAAAGAGCAATAAGTGGTATAGAAGGACCTCTCACAAAGAAGCCATGGCTGGGAAAGTAAGACAACTTAATAAATTGTAATGCCTAATTGATGCTTTTATTGTTTTTGCCTGCTTTAATAAATTTGAAAATTTATGATTAATGAGTGATTTTCAAGCTGTATGTGTTAAAGTTAGGGTTTAGGAGATCTCAACTTTAAAATGTCCTAAAAATTGAAGCGGTGATGGAGTATTCATAACAGGTGTTTTTTTTTTTTTTTTTAACTATTTGTGTATGTAGTCCATTATTTAAAATTACTGAGACAGTGGAAATAGATAAAAAAGAAAAAAAGTTGTGTATTTTATAGACATTGTAAAACACACCATTAGAAGTTGATGTCTTAGCCTTTTTAAAATTTTAGTCATCTTAATGACTGTGGTACTTTTTTTGGCACATGACTTAATATTAACTAAGCTTTTTTTGTAATCTTACATTATCCATTCCTCTCTCTATATATATGCAGTTACTGTATAATAAGGATGACATGAAAATTTTTCAGAGGTTTTGGAAGAATGTTAAAAGGTTGCCTAAGACATTCTTTGAAGAAATATAAGCTTGTTTCCTTATGTATGTCTTGGCTAGGCATGAAGTGGGAAAATTAACTAAAATTTGTTAATATTCCTTTAGGCAAGGGAATAACAATCAGAGTAAACCAGGATTCTTAAGAAAGAACCAATATACAAACACCAAATTAGAAGTGAAGAAAATCCCTCAGGAATTGAACAACATTACCAAGCTCAATGAACATTTCAGCAAGTTTGGAACTATTGTTAATATACAGGTAAATGTGGCTGCATCAGAGACAGAAATCCATGCGTTTTATGTGTCTTGACAAGAATTTTTACTAGCTTAGCTTACTTTGTTTAATTTGCATGAATCAGTGGTTATTTTGATCATCTCTGCTGCATGTTTTGAATGCCAGTACATATGCGCACACATAACACATACAGACACATACACACACACACACACACAGAGGATGACCGATTTTTTTTTTTTAGGATTTTATTTTTTATTTGAAAGACAGAGTTACCCAGAGAGGAAGAGAGATCTTTTGTCTGTTTTCACTCCCAAATGGCCATATTGGCTGGAGCTGAGCTGATGTGAAATAATGATCCAGGGCTTTCTCTGGATCTCCCACACAGGTGCAGGGTCCCAAGGACCTGTGCCATCCTCTGCTGCTTTCCCAGGCCATCAGCAGGTAACTGGATGGGAAGTGGAATATCTGGGACTCTAACCTTTAACACATGAATTTTGAGGACATATAGTCCCATTTGCATGAGTGGGCCACAGTTTTCTGCTTTGGGAATTTATGTTGTTTTTATTATTTTCTTAAAGGTTGCATTTAAAGGTGATCCAGAAGCAGCCCTCATCCAGTATCTTACCAATGAGGAGGCCAGGAAAGCGATTTCCAGCACGGAAGCAGTTCTAAACAACAGATTCATTCGAGTCCTATGGCATAGGGAAAATAACGAGCAACCAGCATTACAGTCCTCATCACAGCTGCTTCTTCAACAACAGCAAACACTTAGTCATCTTTCACAGCAGCATCATCACCTGCCTCAGCATCTTCATCCACAGCAGGTGCTGGCAACCCAGTCTCCTCCCTCAACGGTACACGGAGGCATCCAGAAGGTAATCCAGGGCACTGAGGATTCAGTCCTTTGGTCTCCCTCAAGATCAGTGTTTCTCCATCATGGACTCTGGGTTTTTTCCTGTTTAATTTTTTTTTAAGCATTTTTTTGAAAGACAAAGTGACAGAGAGGGGGGGACACACACACACAGTGGGAGAGAGAAATGTCTCTCTTTTGATGGGTCACTCACCAAGTGCAACTCTGAAAGTAGGAGTCCAAAGCCAGGATCAAACACCTCCATTCTGTTCTCCTGTGTGGGTGACAGGAACCAAAAATACCTGCACTGTCATCTGCTGCCCCCCATGCATGCTGACAGGAAATGGACTGGGAGCAGAGGCAAGACCCAGCACTTGGATGTGGACACAGGCATCCCAGGCTCTCAGCTTACTCTGCTGTACCACAGTGCCTACCTCAGTGCTTGGTACTTCTATAGCAGATCTACTTATAATTGGATGTATAGACCAGCTGTATCTGATTTGGAACTTTATTGGAAATGCAGATTCCTGGGCCTTATGGACAAAATCCCTATGGTATACCCAGAAATCTGTGTTCTAACAAACTTTCTGAAGTCTGAGCTGCTGTTCTCTGTACCGGCAAATTACTTACCTAAGTCTCAGGCCCTGTGCTGCCTCGATGGCACTAGATCTGCAGAGTGTGCCTCTAGCTGCAGGGTCCATATCCATATAGGGATTATTAAATGATGCTTATGCCCACTAAAGGGTTGCAGTCCATTCAAGCAGTGAATGGCTTTCAATGTGGGATGGTGTTATCTTGTTAGAATCACTCTCGCTGTATCTATCTGTTTGCCCTATTTTTCTCCTATACAGAAAAATCCTGCATCTTCTAAAACAGGGGTGGAAGTGTCAAGGACATTGGAATTTTGGCTGTTTCTTTCATTCTGTCCCTATAGTCTAAAACACTGCCTGATATAAAACACTTAAAACTTACTTAAGAAGAAGGAAACAAAGAACAGACAACTGCATATTAGAGCCATTTGGCTAATGACAATAATGTTAATCGTTACATAGTTCTCAGACTTAGAATAAATGCACTCAGATTTTTTTTTTAGAAGTATTCCTTAACAGTATGTGTTTGTAGCTGCGTTCGTCTTTCTGTTTATTTACATCTAAGCTATCATTGACTTTAGTCTACATCCAATTTCAAGCTGGTGACTACTTTGCCTAGAGGTTGGTTGAGTAGTGGACAAGATGATAAAATCTCGTCTGTGTCCATTAGACCATGGTCTGTTAGTGCATCCTAAGGTTTGCTATGCTTTCAGGGGCATCCGTTCACACTGTAAGGTGTATTCAACTACTGTCAGGAAAAGGTCTTAATCTTCAAGGCATCGCATGTAGTGGGAACATTGAAAACTTGCCAGATTTTACATTTTTATCTGCATTAATGCATATATATATATATATATATAAATTTTTTTTTTTGCATATCACCACTTCGCTTAGAAAATCAAACGTTTTAAATCATTACAACTCCCTCCCAGTCTCTTTTTCTTATCTTCTTTCCTAGGATAATCACTGTTCTAGATTTGCATTGCTCCTAGACATGTTTTGAACCTTTCCTAACCTGTGTGAATTTTGTATATATAGATGATGAACAAGCCACAGACGCCAGGTGCATACGTTCTTAACAAAGTTCCTGTTAAGCATCGCCTTGGGCATGCGAGTGGTAACCAGACTGATGCGTCACACTTGCTCAGTCAGTCGGGTGGTGCAGGAGAGGATTGTCAGGTATGCATTTCTGTGATCCTCAGCGGGGTTCAGAGCTGGCCAGTGGCACAAAGAAAGTAAAAGATCGATTATTACCCAGATTCGTAGTATGAAAGTTGAACTGAGTGTGGCAGATGTATTTCCCTAATTTCTCTCAGACATTTGCTAATCAAATTTATGTTCAAAGCTTAGTGGAAATTTGAAAATTTTGGCTATATATAAATAGGTATATATTTAAAATTTTTTTAATGATTTATTTATTTTTATTGGTAAGGAAGATTTACAGAGAGGAGAGACAGAATGATCTTCTGTCTGCTGGTTCACTCCCAAGTGCCTACAGCCAGAGCTGAGCTGATCAGGAGCCAGAAGCTTCTTCTGGGTCTCCCACGTGGGTGCAGGGTTCCAAGGCTTTTGGGCCATCCTCTACTGCTTTCCCAGGCCACAAGCAGCAGGGGACCGGAATGAAAGTGGAGTAGCCGGGATATAAACCGGCTCCCATATGGCATCTGGGTGCATGCAAGGCGAGGACTTTAGCCACTAGGCTACTGTGTGAGGCCTGGTATATATGTATTAATAGTTAGTTTATTACATGTCATTAGTAAGTTTAACTTTTTTAAAAACCTAGTGAATTCTGTCATAATGAAAGCCAAACTCTTAAATGTTTTAAGTAACTTCTTTTAATTTTAGGAATGTATCTGTATGTTGACTTTTTCTTATGGTCATTACAGCAAATAGAGTGCCAGGAAGATTCTGAAAAAGGACAGTAGAAGTGGAGGAAAGCTCCAGAAAGTATCATAAAATCTCTGTAACTGAAGCACTTTGATATTGGCGCATGGGTAGACTAATGCAGCAGGATAGAAAAGCTAGAAATAAACTCAGTTGCAAATAGCAACTTTATAAGTATCTCAGATCAACTGTGAAATACTGTAGAGGTAACTGGATAGCCATATGGAACAGATAAAATCAGTTTTTTTGTTTGTTTTTTGTTGTGTCATAAACCTGAGTAAATTCCAGATGGATTGTAATTTTGCTGTTCAAGGCAGTGCTAAACGATAAAACCACTGTAAGAGGAAGTGTGGCTCTGTCTTGTGGAATTACATGTGCAATCACTGTAAACTAGTAGTGTTCCCTCTGTGAATCCAGCCAGGGTACAGTAGCCAAAAGATGGAAAGACATATACAACAGAGCTAGTAATCGTAGGTGCTTTGTACTCGAAAACGCTGGGCATGGCTCAAATGCCTTTCAGTAGCGACTGGTTGTTTCAAATGTGTGTTCACAAAGGAATGAGGAATATGTTCATATGTATGACAGAATGAGTAGCAGGATGTATTAAATTAAAACAATTAAAATGGAAGGATAAGTGTGTATTTGACCACTGTTGAAGTAGAAAGTTGGGTCAGTCAGTATTTTCTTAAAACAGAAGAAATAAGATAATTTGTGCTAACTGAAATGAGGTGACTATGGCAAGTACCAAAGAAGCATGATGACTTTAAATATGAATTGTTTGAAGAGTTGACTTGGAATCATTAAGTGCTGAGTGTAATTATTTAAAAGTAATCCCGAGAGACTGTGGCACAGCAGAGTAAGTTTCCGCTTACAGCCCCACACTCCTCTCTGAGAGCGCTGGTCCTCAGCCCCAGCTGCTGTGCTCCCAGTCCAGCTTCCTGCCCGTCCGTCTGGGAGGCAGAAGAGGACAGTTCAAGTGCTCAGGTTCCTGTCACCAGTCAGCGAGGCAGCGGGAGTTCCAGGCCTGTGGCTCCAGTGTGGCTGAGCCCTACTGGCTCTTGCAAGCATTTAGGAAGTGAACTGTTAGAGGGGAGATAGCGTTGTTTCTCTCTGTCTCTGCCTTTCAAATAGATGATAATACACAGCTAAAAAATTAAAGGTAAGAAAAATATGAAATTGCATTCAGAAATGAAACATTAACGTGAGAAACATTTTTCTTTATAGTCTTGAGCAACATTTTCATTATAAAGAACTGCTTTTTACAAATCAATTTTTTAAAGGTAAACTTACTTTAACTCCTTAGGATTATAGAAACACATGGAATTTCTCCAAAACATTTCTGAGTTCTAATTATGTTTGTTTTCTTTGTAGATATTTTCAACACCAGGCCATCCAAAAACGCTTTATAGTTCTTCAAACTTAAAGACACCTTCCAAACTTTGTTCAGGTTCTAAATCACATGATGTTCAAGAAGCATTGAAAAAAAAACAGGTAAAGAGCAAAGGAAACTTTGAATTTGTAAGTGATTGTATTAACATCTTATTGTATAACTACATCAGGATTGGCTTATTGACTTCTTTTTAATATGCCCCTGACAAGAAAAAAAAGATGAACTAACCAAAAACATTTCCCAGTTGTTTTTCAGTGGCTATATCAATTATAAGGAATACATTTTTTTCTATCATGTTTTCTTCAGAGAAAAAAAAAAAACACTTTTATTATTTCAGTACCTATTTTTTTTTTTTATTTCTTTTTTGGTTTTGTAAATTAGATAACCTTTAACATAAATTGTGATATTCATGTAACTATTCATATAATTCAGTTCTAAATTTCATTATTATCTTAGATTTAAGCTTCCATAATTTTTTTCAATAAAATTTGTATTTATATGTACTGTTATCAAAAAAAAAAATAACCCAAGATTTTTGATGTTTTTTGAAAAACTCTTATACTGGGCCTGGCATGGTAGCCTAGCAAGCAGCTGGAGTTCTCACCTTGCATGCTCTAGGATCCCATATGGGCACTGGTTTGTGTCCTGGCAGCCCTAGTTCCCATCCAGCTCCCTACTTCTGGCAGGGAAAGCAGTTGAGGATGGCCAAATGACTTGGGATCTTGCACCTGTGTGGGAGGCCTGGGGGAGGTTCCTGGCTCCTGGCTTCAGATTGGCTCAGCTCTGGCTGTTTTAACCACTTGGGGAGTGAATCATCAGATGGAAGATCTTCCTGCCTGTCTTCTTTCATATATCAGACTTTCCAATAAAAATAAATTTTAAGATACAGGAAAAAACCCTATTATACGTGTTTATTTTTATTGGAAAGGCATGTTTATAGACAGAAGGAGGACCCAGAGAAAGATTGTCTATCCACTGATTCATTCCCCAAATGGTCATCATGGCCATAGCTGAGCTGATCCAAATCTGGGAGCTAAGAGTCTCATCTGAGTCTCCCACGTGGGTGCAGGGTCCTAAGGACTAGGGCTATCCTCCACTGCTTTCCCAGGTCATAAGGAGGGAGCTGGATGGGAAGCGGGGCCGCCTGGACACGAACCGCCACCTGTATGGCATCCTGGCTCTTGCACACGAAGCATTCGAGCCATGGTGATGACCCGAGACTTGGGATCATTTCTTAAGGTTACATTTTAAAAGATTTTTGCTTTCTAAAAAGATTTACTTACTTGAAAGAGTTAGAGAGCAGTAGAGATGGAGATCATTTGATCTTGGATCCATTAGTTTACTCCCCAGATAGTCTGTATGGTCATGGCTGAGCCAGGCTGAAGCCAGGAGCCAGACAATTCATGCCGATCTCCCGTGTGAGTGACAGGGACCCCAGCACTTGGATCATCTTCTGCTACTTTTCCCGGCAATTAGAAGGGATCTGGGTCAAAGTAGAGCTTGAACTGGGCACAAGGGATGCTGGTATTGCAGGTGGCAGCTTTACTGCAATTCTGCTTCTAACACGTATTGATTTTATTTACTTGACAATCTAGAAGGGACGGATAGACGGAGTAAGCTCTCATCTCCAGAATCTACTGAAGTACCTGCAAAATTGGGAGGCCAGGCTCAGAACTCAACATGAGTCTTCCACGTCAGGGACAGGGACCCAGCTAGTTGAGCCAAAACCTGCTGTTTCCCAAGTATTCATTATCAGAAAGCTAGATCGAGACCAAACAGAGAGCTCTAACCCACGTAGTCTGATACCTCTATCAGGGAGCTACCCCCAAATCCCCCTTTTAAGCCCCAGAAAGAAGAATTTCCCATACTCAGGTGGAAACTGCTCTTGGTTTTGTTTTTGTTTTTCATAAAAGCATTCAAATCAGCTAGCCACATAGATGTAGCTATTGGGATCCAATATTGTAAATATTTTTAAGTGTAGTTATAAACTCTGTTACATTGGCTGTGTTAAGGAAAATATATTCAAAGGTTTCATCTCTGGCTTCAGCTGCTTTTTGATTAATTGGTCAAGAAGAAACCAGTCAAGAGTATCATAGTGTTAACTATCATTGGCAGATTCTGTTAGGAATATTAATTCCTCCTTTACCTACTTATGCAGGAAGCATTGAAACTACAACAAGATATGAGGAAAAAGAGGCAAGAAGTGTTAGAGAAACAAATAGAATGCCAAAAGGTAAGATGAAAGCGCATTGTTTTTACACTGGAATTAATGTGTACAATTGGTTTTACAAAAATACCTGTATGAGTTAAGTTTTTAAGCTTTGTAGTATATTAATGTTTAATAAGGATGGTATTACTTTTGTTTTTGGTAGATGCTAATATCTAAGTTAGAAAAAAACAAAAACATGAAACCAGAAGAAAGAGCAAATATAATGAAGACTTTGAAAGAACTTGGAGAAAAGATCTCACAATTAAAGGATGAATTAAAGACGTCTTCTGCGGTTTCTGCACCATCTAAAGTAAAGACAAAAACAGAGGTTTGTGTTTGTATTTTTATTGAACATGGATCATTAAATATCTCAAGAGCTTAATACTTTGAAAATATTGAAATTACAATAAATTTTCTTAAAGACTTACTTACTATTTGAAAGATAATGCTAATAGATTAAAGGGAGTGCGGGAGGTCTTGTGTCGGTTAGTTCAGTCCCCCACTGGCCACAGCAGCCTGCAGGACTAGTCTGGGTCAGGCCTAAGCCAGGAGAGAGAAACTCAATGTAGGCGTCCCATGGCATGCCAGTGTCATAGAAAGTGGCTTAACCGCCTGTGCTACCATACTGACCCCTATGTTTAACTCAGTAACAGCCTGCCTAGTGGCATGATAGGCAGGCAAGCAGTTACAACACATTACATTTTTTTTAAAGTGATTTTGGTGTTTAGTTGCTTAGGTGGCATACTGAGTGCTGATAATACCATTGGAACACAGATTATGCTTTTTAATTGAATCTGCTTGGTCTTCTGTCCTGAAGATGAAACTGCTAAAGTGATGGACAGGAAAGAAACGTTTCCTATTAAAACAGCTTCACGATGAAATACTGTTGTAGTAAAGCCATCCGTTTCGTAGTTCCGAGTCATGCAGAGGCTAAATATGGATAAAAATGGCTGTGAAAAAGAGTAATCAGAAGTTCTAGATTGATTTAAACCTGGCTTTTGTTCATTTCTGTGTTTCCTTACCCTAGGAGAGTACCTACTTTACACAGTGATTCCATTGCTACCACAACTCTAGTGGATTTACAGCTTTCTAACCTTTTTATGAACTAGGAATGAGTTTGTCTGAGATAGAGAATGTATAGTATCATACAACATTTGCAGTTATGGTTCTCTCTGAGTATGGGAATGTAAAATGTTAAGATTAAAAATGTAGTTTTACTTTCCCCTAGTTGTAGGAAAGGGTGTGCACATTTAAAAACAAAGAATTGGAGGAGAAACGAGTTCTAGGGCATATCGCCTAAAACTTGCTTAAAAAAAACTAAAAAAGGTCTCCTGCAAAGGAGAGTGGCTGCAGTGACAGGTTTTCAGTCTGAAAGTGATTGCATATTGTTACCTTTGAACGGTTAATAAAATGTTACTTCATGGTTTGTTTTGTGAAAATTATTCCCAGCTGTCTTTGAAGTGACCATTTCCCTCGCCCTGACTTTAATCTACCTTATATAGTGTCATCAGTCATTTTTCAGTGTTACATTCTTTACATGTTTACAATAGTTTATGAATTTGCCTACTTTAAAGTGGCTGTTTTGATTGTATCATCTCTGTTTTCCAAAAGAGCTGTGTATCCTCATAATTATGTTGTGGTTAAGATCTTGGAAGTTTTCTAAAGACACCTTTTTTACTCTTAATTTTACCATAGGCCCAGAAAGAGTTATTAGATACTGAACTGGACCTGCACAAGAGGCTGTCCTCAGGAGAAGACACAACAGAATTACGGAAAAAGCTCAGTCAGTTACAGGTTGAGGTGAGACTTAAAAGGAGTTAGTGACCCAACATACTTAATATTTCAAAAAACAGTTTTTACTCTTTTTTTTGCATTTCCTAAGGCTTAGTCTAACGATGGATATCGCCTTCTGCCTTCTTTGTGATTCAGGCTGCGAGATTAGGTATTTTGCCTGTGGGTCGCGGAAAGCCCATGTCCACCCAAGGCCGAGGAAGAGGCCGAGGCCGCGGAGGCAGAGGAAGGGGGTCCCTGAACCACATGGTGGTGGATCATCGCCCCAGAGCACTAACAGTGGGAGGATTCACTGAGGAGGAAAAAGATGAACTACTTCATTTCTCAGTAAGTTTTTAAAGTAGCAAATGTTAACTCTGGGAACACTGTGTTCAGCACATTCCTGGTGCGATCTTATCTAATTAGCAAACGTTTCACATATTAGAATGTTTAGTTGGAGAAACCTGGGTACTAGCAAATCCTTATTAATGTTTTGGAAGGTCAAGAAGCAGTTAAGTTCTTAAAATTCTTGTAATTTCATAACTTCACATAAATGCATTTATAGTGACAAATCATTCCAAAGCTACTTTTTTTTTTAAGATTATTACATGTTTAGAAGATATTAAAAAAGTAAAAATAATCCTAGATGAAGGTAGAATTCAAAGGTTTTATCAGGATAACGGATTTGTTTAGTTATATTCTGTGTACAGTGCTGATCACTTACTTTTACTTTTAGGTAAACGTGCCAAGTACAAATTTGCCTCAGCAGATAACTATGATTTTGTATAGACACAGAGTACATTCTCTGCATAGACACTCATTAATTTATAAATACTGTGCTGGACCGTTTTCATACACAGTCTCATGTCATCTTAAAATAAGTGTGAGGTGCATGGGAGCCTCCCTTTCATGTGATATTCTGTGCGTTCGCAGGGGAAAGCCAAAGCCTAAAGCCTCACACAGGATCGGCTGGTTAGTAAGTGACAGAGCCAAACCAAGCAGCCAGGCTCCGCGTTCCTCCCAGCATATTTGAGTGAATGTAGCTTCAGCACTGTACACACTTAAAGCTGGTGAGAGAAGCAGTGAAGGGTCATTTCAGTGTGCCAGTTGACTGACTTCCTTAACTGCCATGACCCTCTTTCTCCTTTTTAGTAATGTGGAAGAATAGCTTTAAAAATTCTAAGGAATGTTTTTTTTTTTTTTGGAATTCAACCTTCTTGGTCTTAATTCCAACTATCTGCCGCTTTTTGAGACTATGTTGGTCTAACTAGGGAGTTTGGAAATGCTTTTCTCTTTCTGACTGCTGGTTCCAATTAAGTGGCTTTTTCCCCCTTATTTGCAAGGTAGAGTGACAGAGAGGAGAGAGAAGCATAAGACGCTCCATTCAGTGATGCAGTTTCTGAGTTCTTGCAACTGCCCAAGCTGGGCAGAATCAGAGCCAGGAGCCAAGAGGTCCATCTGGGTCTTCCCCATGAATGACAGGAACTCAGGTATCTGAGCCAGCTTCTGTTGCTTCCCTGGCTCGGATCTGAGGTGAAGCAGCCAGAACTTGAACTGGTAGTCTGATAAGGAATACTATTATGCCAAACAATGGCTTACCCTGCTTCTACTGCAATGTCCATTGCTAAACACATATATTATTTTAAATATTTACTTTTTTGTGCCTGGTGCTATAGCCTAATGGCTAAGGTCCTTACCTTGAATCTGTTGGATTCCATATGGGTGCCAATTCATATCCTGGTTACTCTACTTCCCACCCAGCTCCCCGCTTGTAGCCTGGGAAAGTAGTTGAGGACGGTTGAAATCCTTGGTACCCTGTACCTGTCTAGGCGACCTGGAAAAAGCTTCTAGCTCCTGGCTTTGGATTGGCTCAGCTCCAGCTGTTGTGGCCATTTGGGGAATGAAACCGCCAATGAAGATCTTTCCTTCTCTCTGTAAATCTGATTTTCCAATAAAAATAAATAAATCTTAAAAGAAAAATATTTACTTTTATTGGAAATGCAGATTTACAGAGAGATAGATCTTCCATGTTCACCCCACACATGTATAGCATTTCAGAATGTGGAAAGATCTATTTTAGGTAAGCGATATTGTAAGAAATGCAGTAAGGTGAATAAATGTGAACTCATTCACCACTTTAAAATTTCAAGACATAAGTCTGACTGTGTAGATCTCAAAGCCAGATGTCAGTAATTGACTCAGGCCTGGTGTGATGGCTCATTGGTTAAATCCTCGCCTTGAATGCAATAGGATCCTATACGGGCACTGGTTTGTGTCCTGGCTGCTCCGCTTCCTATCCAGTTCGCTGCTTGAGGCCTGGGAAAGCATTAGAGGATGGCCCAAAGCCTTGGGACCCTGTTCCGGTGTGGGAGACCTGGAGGAAGTGCTGAGCTCCTAGCTTCAGATTGGCTCAGTTCCAGCCATTGTGGCTAGTTGGGGAATGAACCAACAAATGGAAGATCTATTTCCCTGTTTATTTTTCTCTGTAAATCTGCCTTTGCAATAAAACTAATTTTTTTTTAAGATTTATTTTTACTAGAAAGTCAGATATACAGAGAGGAGAAGAAATAGAGAGGATCTTCTCTTCACTGATTCACTCCCCAGGTGGCCATAATAGTCGAAGCTGAGCTGATCTGAAGCCAGGAGCCAGAAGCCTCCTCTGGGTCTCCCACACGGGTGCAGGGTCCCAAGGCTTTGGGCCATCCTTGACTGCTTTGTGAGCCACAAGCAAGGAGTTGGATGGGAAGCTGAGTTGCCAGGATTAGGACCAGCACCCATATGGGATCCCAGGGTGTTCAAGGTGAGGACTTTAGCCACTAGGCTACCACGCCAGGCCCTAAAGTGAACCTTTCAAAAAAATTGTATCAGGAAAATATTTTGTTTTTACAGAGAAAGAAAGAGACCCCTTTCTTTTTATTATTATTATTATTATTATTATTATTATTATTATTTATTGGAAAGGCGGATATGCAGAGAGGAGAGACAGAGAGGAAGATCTTCCGTCCAATGATTCACTCCCCAAGTGACCACAACGGCCGATACTATGCCAATCCGAAGCCAGGAGCCTCTTGCGGGTCTCCCACGATGGTTGCAGGATCCCAAAGCTTTGGGCCGTCCTCCACTGCTTTCCCAGGCCACAGGCAGGGAGCTGGAAGGGAAGCGAGGCTGCCGGGATAGAACCGGTGCCCATATGGGATCCCGGGGCGTGCAAGGCGAGGACCTTAACCACTGTGCCACCGCGTCCGGCCCCAGGAAAATATTTTGAGATCATCATGACATATTCTAGAATGACTGCTTAATTTATGTTTCCAACCAAGATGAATAGCAAAATTTAGCTAACATAGATGAAAACCTTAAACTATCTAGGCAAACCAAAGCATATAGTTCTCACTGGAGATTACTTGTAAATTGACCTACACCAATTTTCTTTTAAATAATTGATTTTTAAGTAGCACAGACTTTGGAAAATTATTTTTACATGGGAGTACAAATCTAATGTGTTCTTTAATACATTTTAGGCAGCAAACCAAGGGTCAAAATTCAAAGACCGTCGACTACAGATATCATGGCACAAGCCTAAGGTGCCGTCCATATCCACCGAGACTGAGGAAGAGGAAGCCAAGGAAGAGGTGAATGTCCTGTCTGACGAACAGCAGCTGGTCCAGTCCAGTATGATTTTCTTGACATAGTGTAAATTTGAAAGTGAGGGTTGGATTTCCTTTCTGCATGCAGTGAGTTTGCACCAGTCGGAAGTCACAGCCGGCCTATGAAGGGCGTGGGAAGGCGGATGTTTGGTGCAGTCCTGAAGGGGCTTCTGGGGAAGTGCACATCAGGCTGCCTGGTTCAAATCCTGGCTCTGGCCCTGATGCCAGCTCCTGCCGACGTGCACCCTGGGAGGCAGCAGGCTGACAGAAACATGAAATTATAAGTTCATATTCAAAAACTATGTCAAGATTTATAGTTTAGTATCTCTTTTTACTGATGGATAATTTGACATAGCGAAAGCAGAAATGTGACCCTTAATAAAATACTCAAGCAAAGCCTTGACATTTTGGTAATGTTTATAGATACTTGTATTTGATGCAAGATTTTAGGTTTTTTTTTTCTTTTAAGAGTATGTTTCTTTGAGAGGTAGAGTGATGGTGGTGGAGGGTGAGGTAGGTTATCCATCAGTCTTTCCTGTGGTTCACTCTCCAAGTGGCTATGAGCCAGGAGTCAGGAACTCTGTCTAGGTCTCCCACATGGGTGGCAGACGTCCAAGTATTTGAACCGTTATCAAGATTTTAGATTTTTAATGTAAGGTCTAGAATGTCATTGTCATGCTAATAGTTACTATAAATAACCAGAAGGGTATAAAAGGAAAGATTCGGGAGTTTGTGTTTTTTGTTTAAGTTTCTTCATTTTAAGTTGGTGGAGTAAAATTATTATTATTCAAAGATTTATTTATTTTTTTTTTTGAAAGAGTTAGAGGGAATGAGAAAATATCTACTGGTTAACTCGAGGGATGGCCACAGTGGCGGGAACTGAACTGACCCAAAATGAGTGCAGGTCTGCCACATGGAAGCAGGGTTCCAAGGCCTTGGGCCGTCCTCCTCTGCTCTCCCAGGCCGCAAGCAGGGAGCTGGACCAGAAGTAGAACAGCTGGGGCTCAAACCGGAACCCACATGGGATGCCATTGCCACAGCCTGATGCTTAGTCTGGTATGCCACATAGCTGTCCTCAGAATAAAATTATCTCAACTTGTCAGGAAAAAAGATATTTTTCTTTCATTTTGCTTATAAACTTTCACATTATTGAGTTTCTTGATGATACCAAACTAAAAATCTATTAGAACAATTGGCAGGAGAAAGGACGTTATATCTATTTTTAAAATGCTTTTGGGAGTTTTACTTTATTCTGAAAGAAACTCTGAATGTATCACTCAGAAATGTGGAATGGATTTCTCTTGTTAGTCTTTTTACCTTTAGCTTGAAAAGCACTCTACTTGAGGTGCTTCAACAGCTGATCACACTCTCTCTCTCCGCAGGAGACAGAAACCTCAGATTTGTTTTTGCATGATGATGATGACGAAGATGAAGATGAATATGAGTCTCGTTCATGGCGAAGATGAAATCTGATGCAAGCTGTATAATTTTTAGGAGTATTGTTTAGAAGAACAACTTTTTAAAATTATTTAAAGAAGTCAATGAGCCAAAAAAAGTTTTTTTTTTTTAATTTTTGTTTTCAACAGAGTAGGTTTCAGGACAGCAAGTTTGCTATCTAAACACATCTCATAACTGTACACGATATTGAAGCACCAAAGGCCTAGTGACTTTGACACAGTTGTGAAGATCTACAGGAATGCCATGGATAATCTAGAGCCTTATTTTCCACACCTGCTTTTGTTGCTACTGGTGTTGGATGACGATGTAAATGACAGGGTGTTCATAAATTTTATTTTGGATTATAATCTGATAAAATTGCATTAAATGACAAAATTGCCTGGAATCTCTAACTTTCAGCTATTATGGATGGGTCGTCAGACAGTAGGAGCTATTTGTAATTAAAATACTCTTTTGCTTTCAAGAGTTGTCTTGAAAGAAAAGTGAATTTATTTTGATTTTTTTACTGTAGAAAAGTCCAATTTGTATTCAATCTCAATTTTTTTCAGGTTTTTTATGTGCAGTAATACTATTTCAGTGAAAAAATCACAACAAACTCTGTTATTAAATACTATGAGGTAATGGTAGCTAGCTCTGTGCTATTTCCATTCTCACGTTAACTTCTGTCCTCATCTTCCTACTGACCTTTGCTTTGCCACTTAGCATTGGTTCAGTTGGTTCCTTTTTTTTTTTACGTAATACTTTTAGAATGTAAACGGCTTTCACCTATTGCCTCTTTCTTGTCCCCCTTTTTATTCTTCTTAGCTGTTTATTCATAGGCCTAATGTACTCATTATTAAGATAAATGATTCATTTGGGCCACCCAAAGTCAGTCCCCAATAAAAGGTTTAAACCAACGCCTTGATAAATAAGTGATGTTTTGATCAGAATAATAGAAGAATGGGGGAGTCACCAGCTTTTCAGTTTTTCTATTTTCAGTCTTCAATTTAGTTATGCAAAAGGGTTAAAAAATATATCTGAAATTTTAAAAATTTAAACCATGATGGTGAGGGTAGTGGGTGGGGAGGGTGGAGATAGGGTAGGGGCTGGGTATGTTAGTCATAAATGGGAACCCTAACTTTGATCAGATGGTCTTCTATTTTCATATTTTCATAGCGTGTTGCTGTCCATGAACATATACTTCTTCAGTAGACAGCTTCCTTTGCTGTGTGCGTTTTTACTGTACACTGTATAGAGTATCTGTTAAGTAAAATGTGTACATGTCTGTCCTTGTGTTCTGAATGTCAGATGGGAAAGCAGAGGAGCAACACTACACTGTACACTAGGGAAATAAAAGCTATGATTGTACGTAGGATATCACTTTTTCAAGGATATACACATCTGTGCTCTTATGTACATGTGGTGTGAAAATTTGAGATTTCCTGTTGGCTTCAAAGGGTTCTTGGTGATCAGTCTATCAAGAATTTTGTTTTCTGAGATAAAGACTGTTTTTCAGAATACAAACTGTTCACTTTTAAGAAACTTAAAAAACCGTCAGGACTCTAGATTTTACCTAGCTACAAGGAGTTAAATCCCAAGTTCTAATCATCTTTTCTACGTAACTTCCTGGAATGAGGTATCTGGCCAGGATCATTTTTAAGTTTGCGTGCATCCTCTTTCAAGGTTATTGTAGCATATCCAGTAACACTGAAGTGGAGATAAGCTTATGAAGCTTAGAAGGAACATGTGAGAAAGGGGTCTCTGAAATAAGCACTCTTGCTCCTTACTCCTCCGTCGTCTAAGGAAAGTTTTTGGATGTCTGCGGCTCAGTCCGTATATATTTTGGAAGATTCATTGTGGTGAATATTTTGAGTCCTGACAGTTTAAACGCGATAGAGGGAACAAAGGATTTATATATTTTTTGTACAAAGTTTTTTCTTAAACTGTATAATTTTGTAAATAATTTGGTTTTCGCTTCTGTTTTGTTTTTGGTCTTTTTTTTTTCCTTGTGTGTGTGTGTACTAAAACTACCAGCGTATAGATTTCAATAAAAATTGTTGTATTTTTGTATTTGGAAACTGAAAATTACAATAAATTAATGGAGCTGTAAGAATTTTCAGTAGACTGACAGTTCAGTAGAATGAGATTCCTTTTCATATGATTTTTTGGCCCTCAAAATTGACATCTTGTTCTGCTCTTAGTAAAGAGAAAAAGTTGAGAAATTAAGTTTTTGGTTTTTGGGGGGCAGGGGATAAAAGAAAAATGTTGGACAGTTTTTCAGTGAACTTTGAGGTTCGTTTGTTTAAATTTTGTTTTTAGTTAACCTTACATAGGACTAAAGTAATTTCAAAGTGTCATTTCTAGTAATTGTAAAACATTTTGACTCATGAATGAATTAAAAATGTGGGTTAGTTATGTTAGGTAACTTAAGCATAAAGCAATTGAATACACAGTTCTGTGTGTGTGTGTTTTTTTTTAACCCTCCCTTGTGGAGTTTTTTATTCTGCCTTACAAATCTACAACGTTGAAGTTTCCCTAAAAGTGAAGAACCACAAAAATGACGTCTTCATTTGACACAGATTAACATACAACATGCAAGGCAGAATCTGCTATTCTTATTATGCATGATATATTTATTAAGTAGCTGATGAGCAACCCCAGCAGGCTATCCACATCAGCCCAATTTACTGGATTACTGACTAATCTCAAGATACTCCCAAGGAAATTAATTACCTTCAGTTTCTTCAAGTAACATTGGGAAAATACTGTCACCAGCTAAGATAATCAAATGGGAAATATTTCTGTTAAGGTGAAGAGCTCCGAGGTGAAGGATCATTATTTCAAAAGAAAAAGAAAAAATCATGTGAAAAGGAATAGAGGTTCCTCTTGATGTATAGTTTGCCTGTATTATAGTTTTTATGAAATTGTGAATTTGTGTAATAGTATAATAGGAGATATTGTTGAATTTCTAACTGTTTATACATTTAAATTCATATATGTAATGTTTGTTTTATGGATTACAATCTGAATTTCTAAGAAGCATGTTGACTTTTGCAATAAAGATGCAATATGGAATGGTTCACAATTGAAAAAAAAAAAAGATGAAACTATCACAAAATTTCAAAAAATTTGGATAATTTCTGAACCATTCCAAAACTATAACAATCACCAAAAGAGCTGTAATTCTGACTTGTTCTGGAAAGAAAGTGCATGTAAGTATGCTTGCTCATGAGAGTCAGTGCTGGCTGTGTATGTGTGTTTATGTCGAGTTCACATAAATGGGAGAGTGTCACGCAGTATGAAGTTGCTGGCTGTGAAGTATTTAGTAGCATAATTGCCTCCACAGGGTAGGATGAAGAAAGAAAGAACAAAGATATTAAATAGCTGTTTAAGGGTAATCCTTTGTAGCCTTATGAATTTGGTTCATGGATGGACCTTCGTATCCCAGATACAAAGCAGGAACAGTTTTATGATAGCAACCATTTCCATGTTCCTTTGATAACACCTGCGGTCAATAAGAAGGGAGAGAAAGCCGACAGGAGATGACTCCAAGATGCATCTTGCTGTGTGATAAAGCAGGACTCACTGGAGAAGGCAGTGATGGCACACTGTAAGGACTGGGTGTGGTGGGAAATGGAAGGCAGGATATCACTTCTCCTTTTAAAAATTGCTATTCTGAAAGCTCCCTTTGAATGGTTATGGAGTAAGAAAGGTCATCTTTGAGTTTCAGCTTTTATAGGACAACAGTAAAGAATGAGAGTTTATTGTCATGTTTGCAAACCGAGGCATTTGCATTTTCAATATGTGAATAGCAAGCTCTGTGTGACTTTGTTTTGAACAGATCTCGGTACATCAATAATAAACTAGTTATGGGACTTTGGGGGAGGACAGATATAATTCTGAAAACAAGTATATTGCATTAAGAGCAGCAAAATAAGTGTTTTACTAAAATGGAGTGCTGGTTAATAGGAATGAATGGTTTTATGTAAAGCTTTCAATGTAAATTTTACTGAGGCCAAGGATATATTTTGAGTCATCAGCCCAGCATATAAAAGATCTTGTTCAACAAATATCTGCCAATATAAACAAGGTTTTGGATAGCTGAGGACTGCTTTAGACTAAATGGATTAACACTACCTTGTAGAACTCTCATATTGTATTAATTGTTAGTCTCAAGGACTACTTGAGGGGTCAGCCAATGTTGACTTAGAGCGATATCACATGCTACACGAATCATTTCCAAGTGGTGATAATTGGTTTCCAAATATACTTTAAAAATCACTTCCAAATATGTTAAATTATTGCCAGAAGACCTTCCAATGGGATCATCTGCCATTTGGCTTCCTACCTGTTTTGCAGTCGACTTTGGGTTAACTCAGCCAGTCTCAGATGGGTGACTTGATATAGGTGAAATTAAGGCCAGATTAGTGTTTGATTGCTTGCAAGATATTTGTAGTTTGCATCTCTTAGGCTTCTGCAAGCTTTTTTTTTTTTTTTTTTTGCACTTTTATGTGGCTGTGGCTAGGTCACTAAAGCTGGTGATAGCTGTTGCTATTTTTATTATTATTTTAAGAAAACATTGTAAAGATTTTATTTTTATTTGAAAGGCAGAGTTAGGAGAGACTGGGAGAGAGATTTGTCTGCTTGTTCAATTATACCAAATGGCTACAATGACCAAAGTGAGACCCGTCTGCAGCTAGGAGCTTCATCCAGTTTTCCCACGTGTGTACAGGCTCAAACACCAGAGCCATCTTTTGCTTTTCCAGGACATTAGCAGGATGCTGGATCCAAATGGAACAGCTGGGATATGAAGTGGCGCCCTTAGGGGATGCTATTGTTTATTTTTGTTATGCAATCTTTGCTTTTGAAAAAGAGCAGTAACGGGGAAGAAGGCCTTAAACGAATAGCATGTTGGTTTGTTTTGGATCTCAATAGTATTACTTAGATCATTCCAATTTTCTAGCCACTTCCTAGGGTTCTGCTACTCTGATACTGTGTTCCATTTCCTAAATTAAAATGAAACATTTAGCCTTGGGTTGTATGGCTTAGCATTCAGTAGTGCAAACTGTTCTTTACTCAATTCTTTGTCGGAGAATATGATTGAAAGCAAGCCATATTTCTGTTGATTAATATCTTAGATTATGTGTTTAAGAGTTTTGTAAAGTTTGAAATGTATTCATTTATGTGAAAGGCACAGAGAGAGGAAGAGGAAGATCTTGAGTCCACTGACTCACTCCCCAGCTGGCAGCAGGTGCGTTTCCAGGGTCAGAGGCAGAGGAGCCCGGGCAGTGCCACAAGCAGTGGCGTTCCATGCTGTACCACAGTGCTTGTACCTAAAGTTGTTATGATGTTGTTTGGTCTCTGCGTCTGAATTGCTGTCATTGTAAGATATTGACAGATTTCTCCCAATTTTAAATTGGGGCTATTGCTGGTGTTGCCAAATGAAACTTGTTAAGGATGATTTGCTTCAGGCTGATTCAGATTGAAGCTGCTCATATGTTCAGCTCAAACTCATAGGCCTGACGTTTCTTGTTTAGATAAGAATGTGTTTGTGCATAAACACATTACTGAATTTAGTTTGAACCCCTTACCTGTCAAAACTTGCTTAAAATGCAGCATCTTAACATGTGCAACCTGTAGGGGGCTCCAAAAGGCGAAATTTAGGCATGCTGATGCCTTTCACGGCAGTGCACAATGAGGCATTTTACATTGCAATTCAGAGTATGTGTGCAGACACACATCAAAAAGGTTTACAAAACAATGTGCCCCTTATGTTTTTAATTTTTTAGATTAAGATTTTCAGGCTCCATTATTTTGCTTTCAGAATTGCTGCTGGTAAAACTAGCCTGTTGCAAGGTGCATTGCACTTTGAAATCACTAATCTGCTTCAACATCATTGTTATAAATGGTACAACTTTATCTTATGCATTTATTTTGCTTGGGGAAATATTCTGGAGTGTAAAATGACCTTGAGTCTAACAGAAAATTTTCTTCAACACAGCGATAATTTTATACTTCTTTTTTAAAATTCATTTCAGAATGTTGTTTTTCTTTTTTCAGTATTTATTTTTATTGAAAAGTCAGATTTTTACAGACTGAAGGAGAGACAGAGAGAAAGATCTTCCATCCGCTGGTTAACTCCCCAAATGGCCGCAACAGCTGGAGCTAAGCTGATCTGAAGTCAGGAGCAAGGAGCTTCCTCTGGGTCTCCCACGCGGGTGCAGAGTCCCATGACTTTGGGCCATCCTCAACCGGCCACAAGCAGAGAGCTGGAAGGGAAGTGGAGCAGCTGGGCTATGAACTGGCATCCATATGTGATCCCGGGTATGCAAGGTGAGAACTTTAGCCACTAGACTACCATACCAGGTCCTATACTTAATTTTTGAAATGTTCAACTTCTAAGAGTTTTTAAGATTACTTGCAATTAAATAGTTTCAACATTATTTGTCCTCGCAGTGAGGGAGTAGAATATCATTAGATTGGTGCTGCTGCTTACAGAATTTAAGTCTTGTGGCAGAAATTATATATTTTTTAAAAATTACCTGTGGAATCCACAAAACTACACTTATTAACACTTACTATTATATTACCCTTTTCCAGTTTCTAAGTTGTGAATAAAAAGAGTGGGAGCCTGTTGATACAGAAATGACAATGTGTTTAAACTCTACAGAAGAATTGCTTCTCAGCCTTTGGGCTAAGCTCAAGTGTAAAATCTACAGAAGAAAACTAGCAAGTCTGCAAACTGATCACTAATGGAAAATAGAAGTTTCTTAGACACTTCAGTATTTGTTCTTTCATATGTCTTTTTCACCTTGAATTCCTTAAGCAATAAAACCATTGTAATTCTATGGTAGCCAGCTCACTCCTTTTCTTTTCTCTACTTCCCTTTTCTTTCCTTCCTTTAAACATTTCTTTATTTGAAAGGCAGAGTGACAGAGGAGCAGAGGCAGAGGGATCTTCTATAGGGTTGTTCTCTCACCAAAATAGCTGTAATAGCTGGTGCTGGGCCAGGTGGAGGTGAGGAGTTCCCAGCTCCATCCAGGTCTCCCATGTTTTGGGGCCATCTTCTGCTACTTTGCCAGGTGCATAAGCAAGGAGCTGGATCAGAAACACAACTGCAGGGCTTGAACTGCCACTCTGGTACAGGATTCTGGCATTGCAGACTGTGGCTTAACATGTGGTTGTACCCTAAGGTTGTACCCTGTGGTTGTACCCTAAGCAAGTATTTTCAATTAAATTGGCTCATAATTTTAAGATTCTGGCATACAGTGGACACAGACTGCCCCCAGGTGTGGGATTGAGTAGTTGGTGTGTGTTGCGTTTAGGATGGCCGTTGAGGAGGGGTGCTCTTACCTCATGCTACACAGCACTCAAAACTGAGTTTGTGAGAGATTAAATGTCACAGTAGAGTCAGGATTTGAACACAGGTCTGATTTTATGGCTCTTGTTCTTAACCTCTGTGCTCTGCTCCTTCCAGCAAAGTAGAATATTGCAAGTCTATGCAGTGTCACTGGTCTTTTTAATTAGCGTCTGTCAAACACTGCCACTCCAGCTCCATCTATCTCTGCTGCCTTGGATTGGAACCAGTCTCCCTTGGGGAGGAATACCATGATTTTAGGGAGCGTATTGGAATCCGTAGTGTTTATGCTAATTTATAGAGAAACATTTTAAAGTAACAATTTTCTGTGACCTCCACAAGTACAGCCAGCCAATTTGATGTGTTTCACAATTATTTGGCTGTATCATAACCTATGTTTATTTTATTTTCAATTTTATCATAAATATTTTCCCTGTGGCAAACTGAATTATGATAATTTTGCAGTACCTCTACCTTGCTGCTTTGTTCTTTTCAATATTTCTGCCTTTTTCCCTTTTAACCTTGGCATTAAAAAAAAATTGTGTCATACATAAATAAGTTTACATGCTTTAATTTCATGATCGTTTCATATAGTGTCCTGAATCTGAGTCAGCAAATGTTGAGAATAGCAGAGTTCATATATACTAATGTTTATGCCATAGATTAAAAAAAGTCCTCAGTGAATAAAACCCATGTTCATGTCATTGTTGTGTAAATAGTTATTTTATGTTTCTATGTTCAGATTTTTATTATAGTAATTCTAAATCCTTGTGAATACCTAATTTTCATTATTTGGGAAACTAGCACGTATTTATTTCTAGTGATTGTTATGGTAATAATTGTCATCTGAAAAAATAAAAAAACAAGAATAAGAATACATAATTAACCTGGTGGGAGAGGGAAGCTTTGTATCATTTGCCAACCTATGAGAAAAGTAGTCTTATTTTAACAGTATCAATTGGAAAATTTTTTATGCTTGTTTTTTTTTTTTTAACCATATAGTACTAGAATGACAATTGCATTGGGGAAATGCTAAGGCAAAAGAATGGTTAAACTCATTGGCAGGTAAATAATTAGTACATGTTTTTAGAAAAGTACTTTTCCCTAAAAATTAAGTTGTATCATGTCATGTGTTTAAATTTATTCACTGTTTAATATCTGCTTTGAAAAGCACACATGCTGTTAAAGAAGTATTAACATGTTCTGTTTTGAAATACTGAAGATGGGGAGAATTTTGTACATAGACTTTCTTAGAATTATAACTTATTTTTTTGAGAAATTTCTACAAATAACTAGAAAGCACTTATCTCCCTGTGATTTATTTAAATCTAATAAATTATACATTTCTGCACTTTAGTCATTCATGTGAAAATTATTTGGAGTCTGGTGTTGTCTGGTCTCCTGAGGCTCCAACTGTGTCAATGAAGCTTCGTCCACTCTTTTAGTTTCACATTTTAAAGTAAATATTATTGATAAGTTAGATAAAGCTTAAGGAATGTCTTCCGCGTTCTGAGTAAATTACTAAAATCTATATGGAAGCCAGGACTCATTTACATAAGGAATATTTTCAGGGAAATTTGCTGTGCTGAATTCCTTCACACAAGCTGTGACTTGTGGACATTTATTGATTTTTCAGAAATGATCACCTCTAAGGGCTGTATTAGAACCTAACTGGTATGTTCAGTTATGTTAGGAAAACTTTAGAGATGACTTGTGAAGTGGCTGTTCTGGCTCTCCTGTTTTATAATCAGGAAGATTGCCTTATTAATCATCTTGAGATTTTTGATGATTTTTATTAGCAGTAACTTTCATGTCTCAGAGTCTTAGAGTGACAGGCTCGGTTACAATGTGTGGTTATATTTGCTGTCATTTTTCTATAACCAGCATGCATCACAACCCAGAGAAAATTTACACAAAGTAGG